TTCTAAGTCATTTAGTGATTGCAATTTAACATAACTGAACTTAAATCAAGATGGGAAAAAAGCAAGTTATAATGAATTATTTTTTGGATTTTCTGCTAGCTGTGATTGGCTGGAAGGGAATTACCAAAAACAAGTCAAAGTATTTCCACATTGAATGTATCAGTCACTTTTTTTCCCTACAACATGACCACTACATTTTGAATAGTGTTTAACAATGGAATAAGCAATGCATAGTTTATCAAGTGGTTTTATGATATTTTAACTCCACCTGGAGCCTCTCTGAGGCTACTGCCGGTCCAAAGCCCGGATAAAGGAGAAGGGTTGGACATGGGGTTAGCGACCCCATCCCGCAGAAAACTAACTCGCTAAAAGACGCTAACCAGAAAAAAGTAAGTAAATTTATGATGTTTTAAGCAATGGATACTTAGTTCAAGTTTCGGTGAGAAAATCAACAAATAGAAATTGATCATATTATGTTGACTGTCTCAAATAAGACAAAATATTTATACTCTATAGTCATCTTGGAGACAACAAAAATAACGAAGCAACCAATCGAGAAGTCCATGATGCTTAATACACAGATGGATAGTTTCAGCCGAGAATGTACGGAGATATACTTGCTTACCTAACACATAGCTAATAACAGTTCGTTTAGATAAATATAAGTATAGGTATGAACTATTCTACTGTTGAGATTCTTGACTGTATTTTGATCGGTCTTTGTTGGTTCAAATGCATAATGTGATAATTGCCATTTTGTCACGAATTTTACAGAAGAGATAGAATATGGTTAGAAATGGGATCCAGGATGCTTGTTTCAATTTTCTATGTTGGTGCTCACACTTGAACTTGTTAGTGGCTTTCTGAAATCCGTCTCTCAGTGGATAACATATTGGATGTTTAGGAATGGAACTGAAATATCGAGCTCAGAGAACACAATACGTACATCTTCATCTTTAACTACAAATATTCTCCATGATCTTAGACAAAAAACTTACTGGATTCTAACTTTAATATGAACAACCAAATCAAGATCTAAACACATCCAACTGACGGATTACAATCTAGCTATTTCCTATAATAATTTCAATAGTTGAGATCATGATTCGGTTGAAGCTACACAACCATGGAAGACTTGGGAGCACTGGACGGCCGTTTTGTCCTGCAATGAGACTCCTCAGCAGTGTGCATCCAAGACTCCATCACGCGAGATTTGAACTCAGGACTTATCAGTCTCGCGCACAAATGCTTAACCTATAGGCCACTGAGCCGGTCGGTATCCAACGATGTTAATATCTAACTTCAACTAATTCATGAAATTGAACGATACATCTCCCATCATCTCCAGTGAGTCACTATCTCACAACAGACACGGTTGAACTTCACTGGTCACTGCTATCCACTAGAACTCCAGGAAATACCTAGTGGTTAAACGCTGGCGTGCGAGACTGATAGGTCCTGACTTCGAATTTCAAGAGGTAGGATCGTGGATGAGCACTACTGAAGGGTCCTACAGTAAGACGAAACGATCATCAAATACTTTCAGATTTCTTATGCTTGTCTATCTTTAATTGACTCATGATCTCAACTATTGAAATTATTATAATATCCACCATAAAAACTTTTTCTGATATTTTATAAGAGTTCATTTGTTTCTCTTTCAATGTATGACAAATAAAAAAAAGAGAAAAAAAAACAAAACAACATACATTCCATTATATCGACCTACAGTATTCTATTACCAATGACCTTGAACAGATGATTATCATGAGAATCGAAATCAAATGATTATTGAAGTTGAAAAAAAAGAGAGAAAATACGCGTGAAAATAATCATCAATTATTTTCAATGACCTTAAAGAATAGATTCTATCTATCTGTATCTGTATATATGGCCTACTCTCTCCCCCTCTCTCTCTCTCTCCCTGAGAAACGGAACAAAAATTGGCTTGGTTTCAAGAATTTTTTTTTGGAAATAAGCGAAAAAATTATTTTACACTTCACTTTTTTTTTTTAAAAAAAATTTAAAATAAACAAATAAACAAACAAACCTTATAAATAAATATGCATTAAGGTCATTCATTGAATATAGATGTAAATAATAATGGCAGACAGTAGAAATAAATATAAGTAAAATAAGATGAACAAGAGGATCAGGGAAAGACAGTGCATATGTCAACAACTTAATCAAGGCATATCAATCAATTAGTCAGTCAGTCAGTCAGTGACAACTGAAAAAGATTTTCTACTGACTATCTTTAATTTGCTAACGTACTATTGTTGTCTTTGCTTTTTCTTTGTTGATGTTTAGATGGAGAATATGTTCTTCGGTTGAACTAACAGGCTTATTAATAATTGAGTTCTATGTTCTTTTCACTGTTTGATGGGTTGTAAAATACGTTTTCATAAAGATAGTTCCAACTTCGAATTTATCAGTTCTTCTTTATTTCGACTCAATGTTTTTTATCCCGCCATAAATACTCCACTAGAAAGTGTTTCTCGTTTATCGAATCATTGATAGTTTAATTTACCATCTGTTTACTTTTGCTTTAAAGGGGTTTTTATTCAGAATCAGTTTGGAATGTTTGCGGATACGTTTTGCTTTTGATAAAATCACCGTCTCGTGAAGTTTTTCTTCACACTGAATCTTTACCTTTCGGTTGTTTCAACAATATAGACATATCCCAATACCTGTTTGTAACCGTTTCGCTGAGATGGAGATATGATTCAACTCTGTCTATTAAATACCTTTGTAGCAGGATTTGTAACTAAGGTATCTTTCAAAAAAACACGTATACCTTTTAAAGGATTTCTACTCTATCATGATAGTCATATTAGGCCTTATGAATCACTGGCACCTGAATTGACAATCACAAATGCAGTTCGTAAGGTTTTCTCATTCGTCCCACTTCACTTTTATTTAGCTTCGTTGTAGGCATTCTGTTGGAGATAATGCTTTGTTCACTCGACTTCCTGAGAATAAGCTACTAAGAGATCGTTTATCTATGATCTGATCTCCAAACTTGTAGTTGTCCGTCGTTTATCTAATCGATTACAAGTACGTACGTTCATCAGTTCGAGTTGCCACACCACATTAGCACAGAGATGCAGTTGTCGATTCGAATCCCACAGTGGGAGGTAGTAAGAGTATAAGCAGTACCGTTCACTTCAAACGCTACCACTTTGTCCACTTAGCTACTGATTTAATTGCAGTCCTAAATATCAATCGGAAGATTCAGACAAGCAATACAAAAATAAATTATACTTCCTTTCATTACAAAAGTTAGTGGCTATCTGAACTCAGTAGCTAAGTAGATAGCTTGATGAAGTTTAGAGTGAAGGGTACTGAGTTCGAGTCGCAGACTGAACATCAACTCTAAGATGTAGATACATGCAAATGATAAGTCGAAAATAGAACTAAGCACATGTCTTGGATCCAACTGCTAGCCGCCACCAACCATCATCATCACAGGTATACTGTTGGCTTAACTTAAAAGAATAGTTATACTAAAAAAAACCTTTTTAGCCTTGTATATCAATACGTTTCTATATCGTAAATGATACTGAATAATCTTATAATACAATGTGTTATTGTTTAATTGTTAACTATCTAGTTACTTCATTCTATTGGAGGTTACAATATTTCAATTATTCATAGCTTTATCTTATTTTTTTTCCAACTAGCAAATTTATTCTTCTTTATAAACCTTTTCTTTTCTTTTCTCTTTTTTTTGTTTCTTTTTGTCGTAGAAAAAAAGTCCATACCGCGATTTCTTTCCCTTCACAATTATAATAAAGCTAAACTAATTAAGAATTCAAAAACCGAAAAAAATAATCGTTATATACCTCTCTATATACGCAACAACAACAACAACAACAAAAATCTAAATCCAATTGGATACAACTCAAATACTTTTCAACTAAGTTAATATTAAAGACTCTAATCATTTTTGACTCAGTTACAAAACTATGAAGAAAATTTGAGAAAAAGAAAAACAAAAAGTTAAACTGTGTTATACATTGATCTAATAAACTATGGTGGGTATTCATATATTTGGTTTCTAGGGTCAGATTAAGAATCAATCAAAGTGAATGAGAGTTTTTCTTGCATTTGTTTCGATCGTATGTACGTAGTTTGAAAATTTTTGTAAAAAAAAGTGGCCAATACTAGAAAACCTTTTATCAGCTGCTGTTTAGGAAAGTGTTATCGTCATTGAAAGGCATTTAAAATGAAGTTCCAGTTTGTTTATAAGTTCAGCTTGTGGATGAAGTAAGTAATCAAGTGACATTTGTATGTTAATTAAAGAGATGATAATATAAATTGAAAAATGTCAACTTACCAGGAACTATCTGTACCAACTACTAGGACGAAACACATGTTATGGATTCCACTGCTAGCCACTATCCATCTTTGTTTATACCAACACTATTTTACAGTTTGGGGTGGAATTGGATCATGTTACTAGGGCTTAGATAACAAGGTATGTAGCTTCAATCATATTACACATAGTTGAACACATGATGAGTTTTTGTTTTACCTGGAGCCCCTCGGAGGCTACTGTCGGTCCCGAGCCCGGATAAGGGGGGGAGGGTTAGGCATGGGGTTATAGACCTCATCCCGTAGAAAAAAAACGCTAACCAGAAAAAAAGCAAGCAATTTTATCATATTTTAAGCAATGGTAAACACCCGACTGCGTCACAAGGCAAGCATTCACTTGGAATCCTCAAAGTCAAATGACAAGAAGAAGACCAAAGAACACATTACGTCGAGAAACGGAGACAGGCATGAAAAGAATGAACAACAATTGGATACAACTAGAAAGGAAGGCCCAGAACAGAGTGGGTTGGAGAATGCTGGTCGGCGGCTTATGCTCCTTTGGGAGTAACAGGCGTAAGTAAGTTAAGTAGGCTAAGAATTTGATCATTAACTTTAACATGTTACCTTTGTAAAGTAAAAGAAAAAAAACAGTATAGTTACATAAATCTGTAGGCAAAACTTACAATGGATCTGTTATGGAAAATTCAATCGATTTAGGTGGACGTTTAGGAAATTGCCAAAATGGTGCTAAATAATGATAGAAAAACAAATTCGGAAAGATCTTTACTTGGAAACAAAAAAAAGTTAAAAAATAATGAAAGTATAATAAGTAGTTTAAATCCCATTATTATACAATTCCGGTCAATTTCCATATAGGGCCACAACAGAATATAGATTTCTAGTAAATTTAATGTTATTACATGGTTGAAGAGAATCGACAGATAGAACGATCAGATCATCATTGCAGTTACTTCAGTATTGTGTTTGCATTCTGTATATTGCCATTATCTAATCGAGGCTTTAATTTCAGAGATAGCATATATAAAACTACTCACAAAAAGCATTGTGTGAATGAGTTTCAGTGGTGATTGCTTTCAGTTCTGTGGTGAAGTTCTTCAATTAACAAAATCATCTTTAATTTAGTTTGCTTTTTTTTACTTATAGTGTGAAGAACCGAGAATTGATAAACGTTTTCATACCAATAAGAGCACCCAAGACTGACTAGTCGAGTTTAGGTTTGTCTTCTGTTGGTTGATACTTATCCGTGAGAAATATTTGAAATTTTCGGAGAACTGATGCTGACATTAAAGACATTACCACTAGGTTATATAGATCATAACACAGTTACCAGTCAGTGAATATTCAACAATTTTGTAATGCTAAGCCTTGAAAATCATCATCCTCCAATCACATTTTTCTTGATATACCTCTTATGGTACTCACAATTGATTTTCAACTTCCGTAATAATTTACAGTATATTTGAATTATGAGCTATAAGAACAATCTAGGATATGCACTTTGATCAATTTGAGACTATTCAGTCGGATTACAAAAATGTCCCAGTGTTGGTATTCACAATGGGATTCGAACCCAGGTACGCAGCACTTTAAATATTAGCATTAGTAGTAGAAAACGTTAGGCTAATTCAATATGATTTGAGAAAAGATGAATTTTTAGAATAGAAGGAAACGTAAAAACAGATTATTTGAAAGTTCAGATAGGGAGTGAATACATCTACACCATTGTAACTGATTATAGGTCAGGTCATACAGTATCTCGAACTAATGATTATAACATTGAAAGTTTCATCAACCCTGATGAGTCGGTTACTGGAAATTTTCTGTACGTCAGCCAGCTTACGTCAATGTGTCATAAACGAACTATCTGTCCGCTAAACAAATGGTCGTTCTTCTGTGAAGCAGTTTTCTCCACTCTAATCTATGAGTGTTAAATGTAGTGCTCAGAAATATAGGATACTTGTAAGTTACTAGTATTTCATCACAGACTCCTTTCAAAGTATTTCTTATGTATGTTGGGACTATCTAATTAGCAACCCTAAGGTTATACATAAAGTACAAGGTAAGAATAGCAAATCTATTGGTCGGGTAATCAATCTTCATCGACTGATGTGAATGGGACACATATTATATGCCCCCATCCACCACACAACTTCGACATCCGATGATGAGTGCTGTGGGAATAGGTTGGGACTTCATAATCTAAACCTAACAACACTGCCCAACCTAATTCTCAATGATTTACGGATTTACTCTATATTTCGATTTGGCTATCCCTAGAATTCCTTAAACCTTCACCTACATCAAGAAACATCGTACATTGAGATCAATGATAGTTAGAAGCATATAAATTCTGTCTCAACTATCTCAGATGATGAAAACCAACTTTAAATCAGATAGATAGATAGGTAGATAGAGACTGAGATAAGAATTAATGCCAGAGGGTAAAGAGATAGTGTATCTATGTGATAAAACTATATATATAAATATATGAAATTGTTATATTTAATAATGTGAATAAAATATAGAATTAGAAACTAAGTAAGAACATTACACTCTACCAATAACAATGGGAATAACAAAAAAAAATTTCCCAGATTGAAGCATAAATTGGTCAATCATGGAACTTCAAAGGTCAGTTGAAATTTTTCTTATTATAATTAGATCATCATCATCCTCATCATTATGAATGTATATGTATAGATATGTATAATATGATTAATTGAATTCATTCTCATCTCTCTTTCTCTTCTTTAAGTAACTAGCAATTCATACAATATGACAGACACGCACGCATACAAAGAGAGAGAGGAGAGGAGAGGAAAGAAAGAGAGAGAAGGAAAGTGAGAAGAGACTAAAGGCAACAAGAATCAGGAGAGATAAAATTCAATTATATTTATTTGCCTAGAATGAACCTTCTATTTTTAAGGGAAACTAATTAAATGTAGAATGAGATGAATGAAGAACAACTTGACAATTATTGAATATTTACATATTTCAATTCAAGATATATTAAAATAAAGAATATTTCCTATGGTGATTTCTTCGATTGGGTAGTAACAATGAAACAACAATTAGGTATTAGGGTAATTTATTTAAACAACTATTGGAAATTAGGAAGTACTAGATAGTTGTTTGGAGTACTGAAAGGAAGCGGAAAATAGTAAGGCCAAAGAACACATTACGTCGAGGAATAGAAGCAAAAGAATGAATAACAACAGCAAAGTGCTGGAATGGATTACCCAGGACATGGTTGGATGGAGAGTGCTAGTGGGCGGCCTATACTCCTCCACGAGGACTAACAGGTGTAAGTAATTAAGACAGCTGTTTAGTCATTTCCTATAGAGTGACCCTATAGCATAAGGATTGAGAAATGTAGATCATTGAATGATAGTTATTTACTTTGAAAGTTAAGCGCAATATATTAGAGAGTTCAGGGTATTGTTTGTTTAATGATTGTTTAAGTAGACTCAATCTGTGCTAGTGGTTCAACCAACGGTTAGAGACCTTGAATGAAATGGCTTAAAATCGTTTGAAATGGCGCAGGTGCATCTACTCTTTGTGTTTTCCCAAATTCTAATCTTCTGAATTCTTCATGTCCCTTTCTTTTTTCTCATTCCAAATTTATTTCACTGGATTATACTCCTTGAATAACATCTTCAAACCCTAATCTTTCCGATTACTGCTTATACTCTTACTACCTCCCACTGTGGGATTCGAATCGACAACTGCATCTCTGTGCTAATGTGGTGTGGCAACTCGAACTGATGAACGTAAGTACTTGTAATCGATTAGATAAACGACGGACAACTACAATTTTGGAGATCAGATCATAGATAAACGATCTCTTAGTAGCTTATTCTCAGGAAGTCGAACGAACAAAGCATTATCTCTAACAGAATGCCTACAACGAAGCTAAATAAAAGTGAAGTGCGACGAATGAGAAAACCTTACGAACTGCATTTGTGATTGTCAATTCAGGTGCCAGTGATTCATAAGGCCTAATATGACTATCATGATAGAGTAGAAATCCTTTAAAAGGTATACGTGTTTTTTGAAAGATACCTTAGTTACAAATCCTGCTACAAAGGTATTTAATAGACAGAGTTGAATCATATCTCCATCTCAGCGAAACGGTTACAAACAGGTATTGGGATATGTCTATATTGTTGAAACAACCGAAAGGTAAAGATTCAGTGTGAAGAAAAACTTCACGAGACGGTGATTTTATCAAAAGCAAAACGTATCCGCAAACATTCCAAACTGATTCTGAATAAAACCCCTTTAAAGCAAAAGTAAACAGATGGTAAATTAAACTATCAATGATTCGATAAACGAGAAACACTTTCTAGTGGAGTATTTATGGCGGGATAAAAAACATTGAGTCGAAATAAAGAAGAACTGATGAATTCGAAGTTGGAACCATCTTTAAGAAAACGTATTTTACAACCCATCAAACAGTGAAAAGAACATAGAACTCAATTATTAATAAGCCTGTTAGTTCAACCGAAGAACATATTCTCCATCTAAACATCAACAAAGAAAAAGCAAAGACAACAATAGTACGTTAGCAAATTAAAGATAGTCAGTAGAAAATCTTTCTTGGTCTATATTTCGTGCTAGTTGGTGCTCGTAAGCAAGGCTTACCAGCAATCTTGAAGGGATTGATGCTCTTTGTTAAATATGAACTTAAAAATCGTAAATAAAATATATTCGAAGTATCTTAATCCCACAGGAGTTCAGCTACGGCATGAATAGCTTTAAGGCTGAGTGATCTACGTTCGTATAAATACCCTCAACATCTTGCTGACGAGTACCAACTAGCAAGAAACTAAAGTCAAAAAGTGTTTTCTCCTGTACACCTTTAACCACTTAACATCTCACCGTAGTGTACACGATATCAAGTCACTGAAACTAGTTGTTAACCTCTCAAGTTGATCGTTAAAGTTTGATCACCAATGGAGAAGAAACTACAAAAAACATGACTTTGTTTACCACAATAGTGTTCAGAAGAGAAAGAACACTGAAGAAAATTTTATGAGGTTAAAATCATATTAAAACTTACTTCCATTTGATAATTTTGTATCGATGGGGAAAGAATGTAACAATTGACGAGCCTTAACAAGAAAAAAACAAAAAAAAACAAAAATAAGTGAGGAATGAACAAAGAAAAAAGATTGGCTTAAATCATTACAAGTGATTATGTAAGATTAGTTTTCATTCAATTTACTAATGACAGGAAACGATTGAAATCTGATAGTTAGATATTAATCTCGTTGAATGATTTCCACAGTAAGCCATTTTTAAAACAAACAAAAAAACTTAAATCCTATCATGTTTCTTTTTTCCATTGAAATGGTTTATAATCATGCGCAGATATTTGTATTTCTAACATCTTTCATATATAAATCAGAAAATGAATAAAAAGAACTTTGTTTTCTAATCGATTGAGTTGTTTATTGAACAGTGGTTCAAGTCAATGTATACTCTAAGTACGCTCTCAAATGTCCTGGTAAGGCCGAAGGTGAGGAGAGTCAGCTCTCCCATTCCAAATGCCCTCACATGGCCACGTACATAAAAACCACTTTCATAGAAGTTTTACTCACTGATTTCTCGCGGTATGACTGTTGTTTACGAAATTGAGAGGACGAAAAGTGAATGTTCAACGCTCTAACCTGGAAGTTGGAAAACCCTGATTCCTAACTAAATGGTGCATGAACCGATTGTTGGTCACCGGCTACCATGGGACTGCATCTCCCTACGTTGCTCCATTGCATTGTGGATCAGACTTTCAGGTCAAATGTTCCGGGTGTGGTCCCCTAGGAAAACACCTTCTTCGGTTTGGGCACCTGGGCAGTATCTCAGCCCTCACACAATTCTAATGAATAATTTATGTATCGCATATCTATTTACTGCCTTCTTGTAACAATGTTTATATATCTAGATAAATACTTCAAGTACGAACTACAAATATAATGTATAATGATCAGTAGAAATAAATTTGTATACTGCTCCAAAGGGTTTACAACATTAGTGAAGAATTACTTTTTACCAGCACAGAGTAAAAACGATCATGTTAATAGTATCAAACCCTTAATTCTGTCTGTTTGGACTGTAGGTAACAGGTAAATAGACTCTATCCGTAAGTCTTAGTCTTAAGCAAACTTCATTCATCTCTATGGTTATACAGCATTTTTATATCACAGTTTATGTTAGTTTGCGTCAGAGCTTATGTCAATTCTTGATGGAAACTCTGAATCTAAACGCTTAATCTTGATCCTAACTAAGAACAATATGGGGACTCTTAAAAATCTGTTTCGGACCTTACAAATGTTCGAGAATGTTGATAATCTATATCCATTAAGATGAATTTGTGACTGGTTATTTTCGAGTTACAGTAAGAGTAACCTGTATAAAATATAAGTTCAAATAATACTCATGTTCTATCTATTTACGCTTTGTAATATTATAGTTTTCTTTTCCATAAATTATCCATTTATATAAGCTGTTTTCTGATTGACCAGAAACTAGCTGGAAATTCGTCGTGATTCTTTTGAAATCTTTCCTTTAGTATAATTTTATTGCACTTTATTTAAGGAGGAACCTATGTGAATACCTCAGTTATAGCTCAGTAACATATCAGTGTAAATGGACAAATCATATAGAAATTCAAATGCCGACTGAACAGCTAAACGGTAGTACAGGAAGAAAGAATTAGTTCGTAGAAGGAAAGATATGAAGCGATTTTAATCTCTTAGTTTAAGGGAAGACAGAAAGTGTATACACCGACGCCATTGTGATCGATTCTGAGACATGTCACCAATAGTCTCAAACCATTGGTTACGATAGTCACGTGAACTTCAACTAAGTAGTCTGCATCTACCAACATGGCTCAGACTAGAAGTTAGTGACTTCAACCACTGATGCCAAGTTTTGTTTTGGCCACCCCTAACTTTCCTCCAACTATCCCCTACACCGGTTAGCATTGCCTCTTGTGGTAATCGGTGGTGGGGCGTGTGTAATACGTAGTCCGACCATCTCAGTGGAAGAAGATTCACAACCTCATCAACTGATTTACCATCGTTCTATAATATCCTGTGTCTAACCTCACTATTACTTGCCCGGTGGTCCCAGCAGATGTGAGCAACGTTTCTAAGGCATCTGTGATCAAATAGAATTTTATGTAAAACTTATAAATGTACTAAGGCTTTACTTATTGCGGTTCCTGTTTCCATCCACCATTGTGTTCTGATTTGAGGACTTTTCGAGTGAAGAGTAGTCAGATCATACTAAGAGAAATCGTAACAGCTTTCAATGTAAGAAACAAACAAACAAACAAACAAACAAAATTTCTTGAAAGACAAATATCATTCTTACTTTATGATTAAAGTAATGTTGAAATTTATCACGGGCTAAATATAAACATTGATTCCATGTAGATGGACGTGAGCATAAAAATCGTCCAATATTCGGATTTAATTGATCTTGTAATAAATTTATCCTTTCAATCCAGTTTTTCATTAAAATTTTATCATTAGAATACATCTTTGATGTAACAATTACATTACTATTATTATTACTACTATTATCATTATCAGTAGTAGTAGTAGTGGTAGTACAATTGGTAGCAATATCATTGCATAAATGCATTAAAAATGTTAAATCTGATATTAATTGATGCGTTTGTTGTTTCGATGTTTGTTCACCATGGTAACTGTCCACATATTCACATTGTTCTAAATTCCAAGCTTGTAGAAATGTTTGTAATTTCATGGGTTTCAATGTGAATTGACTAGCAAACTAAATTGGTATTTGTTTACATAATGAAGAGAAAATAAAAAAAAGAAAAATTAAAATGCACCAAATGAAAAAATCAAAATCAACAAATGGAATTTTTTGAGAGTAGATATTTCTGATGACATTTGTGATTGTGGAAAAAATTGTACACTAGTGCTAAATAACGTGTGTAAACTGTTGTTACTACCTGGTTGTTAGGTGATCTTTTGAAGGCTTAAAGAGGAGGTTGGATAAGGTATAATCTTGATGGTCAATGAGAGCGACCACAAAACTCAAGAAATAATTGTTTAAGGCGGATCACACAGTCTTTTCTCGAATAGTTCTTGATATGTGCTTAGGATTTAGTTAGCTTCAAAATGAATAGCCTAAGTTTTGAATGTCAGTTTATGACTAATGGAGTTGTAGGAGGTAAGATAAGGTTCATCAGTGACATAAAACAATGTTTGCATGACATCATTAACTAAGTGAAGTTGAAAATTCAGCTAATTCAATAGTGACGAAACAGGCCAGACGATTGTGATGACAATTAATCTTGAAAACCAAATAAACAATTGCCCTGGTACGGCCGAAAGTAAGGAGAGTCCGCTCTCTCTCTCTCCAAATGCTCTCACATGACCACGCGCATATAGCCTCTGTCAGGGAAGTTCTACTCACTAAATTCTCGTGGCATTACTGTTGTTTACAAAATTGAAAGGATGAAAGTCCAATGTCTGGCGCTTTAATCCGGTTGGTGGATATGGAGGATACACCTAGGGGAGTTGGAAAACCCTCATTCCAAACCAATGCTCCACATGGACTTCAGTATCCTAAGGGAACAAATGGCGTATGAACCAAATGTTAGTCACCGGCTACCATGGGACTGCATCTCCTTACGATGCTCCACTACCCTGCAGATCTGACCTTCAGGTCGAAGGTTCCGGGTGTGGCCCTCCAAGAAAACTACCTGTTTCGGATTGGGAACCCGGGCAGTATCACAGCCCCCACACATATCAAATGATATCTGTGTGGTGCATATGTATTTGGTGCCTCCTTTTACCAATATCTATGTGTTAAAATAAATATATAAAATAAACAATTGAAACTATGGTAAAATACGGTAAATTTAGGAACATTAATTATTTACTGGATAAGTGTACTGTCATCACACGAAATGGATAGGAAGTTACAAAGCTACATTAATTTAAGGACTTAATGAAACGTTATTGACATAAAACAATAATTGTTTTTATGAGATTTCAGTGAAAAAGTAATACGAGTTATAAATTCTATTAGGTAAATAAAATATATTACTCATAAGTAATTAAAAATTTTAATCATGAGTTGATTTAAGCGATACCACTATTGAAAACTTGGAAGCATTACACGCCCGTTTAGTCTTAGTATGAGGCTCCTCAGTAGCGTGAATCCACGATTCCGTAAGCAGGACTCGAACTTAGGACCTTTAGCCGTTCAGTGCTTACAGATTTGCAATGATGATTTAGCTAAGATCGGCTCATGAATTCAACTATTAAAATTACTACAATCTGCACAATTCCGCATTCTGGTAATTCAAAATTTATCATTAAAATGGAAGAAACAGAGTAGAGTTAGAAAAGTAAGTATTAACAACGTTGCATGATTGTTAGTCATTGTATGCAATAACAACTATCTTACTAAAAACACTGTTGAACGTGTTCGGTTATGGCTTCTCCATAGGACATCAAAATTTTTGTAGAACTCAATGTAATCATTTAATTAGCTAACATAGATATCAAAATGCTATTGAATTATCCTAGTTCACATAATCCACAATGAATGAGATGTTATTAACTTACAGGGTCCAAAATCTAATGACTCATATAATGTAGACACTAATGAATTCTTGACATGAAACAATAATCAGTTAATATTATTAGTAAGGGAATATGTCACCTCTGACTTGGTTGAATATACTACAGATTATGATATCACAATAGAAAGTTGCTAAATCCTATCTTGAAGAAACTTTATCCATAAATAGTTTATGCTGTACAACTATATTTTTTCAAAATCAAATAAATTTTTACAAGCATCAGCTAAAACTTTATTTCAGAATGGAATTTATGGAGAATGTAGTAATTTTAATAGTTGAAAACCTGGAAGCACTGAACGGTCGTCTCATTGTAGTACGTGACTTTTCAGCAGTACAATCCGTATCAGGTATCGAACCCAGACAATGGATAAATGAACCATTCATGGACCGATTGAAGTTAGACATTAACATCATGGGATACCGGCTCAGTGGTCCAGAGGTTAAGCATTCGTGCACGAAACCGAAAGCCCTGGGTTCAAGTCCCGAGTGCGGGATCATGGATGCGCACTGCTGAGAAGTCTCATACAAGGACGAAACAGTCGTCAGATTCTTCCATGTTTCCCATGGTGATCTAGCTTATATTGACACATAAATTCAACTAATAAAAACTTTATTTAACACAAAAGTTATATTTTTAGAGAACAAATTAACTACACTAGAAAAATGTTTGATAATTTTCACTTCAATTCATTCCTATTCAATATTTAAATTTATACTTTTTACTTATTTATTAGACAAAAAGACAATAGGTCTGTAAAATTGTTTTGGCAAATATTTATTCGATTCATCAGACAATTCTTTACATAAACATTATTTCCCATATGGGTATCCACCTATCCTACTTATCCTTAAATAGGATAGACAATAGCAATCAGTCAGGAAAGAGTACATTTTTAGTCAATACGAAACAATAATGTGAATAGAATAAACAATGAGAGAGAGAGAGAGAGAGCAAGAGAGAGAGTGTGTGTGTGTGAGGGATAGAGAGAGAGAAGGAGGGAAAAAGACGAAAACATCAGAATTTGATGCAGATCGGTCTAAAATAATCACAATGAATAGCGAAACATTCAACAACAACAAAAAAAAAACATTACGAATTAAAATAATCTCAATTGATACAATCTGATATACATGAGATCAGAAATTAAAATAGACAGATACTTGGTATATTTGATCTTTAACTATTAAAATGTAGGTTCGAACCCCCCCCCCTTTTATTGTTAAATCTGCTTCCGTACGGGCATAAGGGAAGTGATATCAAAGCCTAAACAAAAAATTATGACATCAAGTCGGCTGTAAATGATTAACTACTTCGTAATTGAGTAAAAAAATTATTTGTAAATGATGATAGGAGATTGAATGTCCAAATTTCTTTTAGGACATACATTTTTAATAATGTTGTATGGATTACACGAGATCATTTCAATATCTATGTGTTATACTTGTGGCCGCCAATTAGAGAATAGTGAATTGTCGACTGGACCAAGGACGCGTAAAACCCGTACGAACAGTCTAGAGTCTTTAATGGTCCTGCTTTCTGCCTAGCCCTGCCTGTCAACTTGAGAACACCAATGTCAGCCTCTGCGATATGAATCATTATATTTCAAACATACTGGGTTTATATATCAACCAACCAGACCAAATCGTACCATAAAATAGGAAACAACATTTGTACAAGAATTAGCCAAATAAGGCTGTGGATGAGGGAGGTAGTAATTAATAAACAGGGCATAATTCAAGAATGGCAAATCGTATAGTAATAGTTCATAGGTCAAAACAAAGCTTATGATAAGAGGGACATGAATATGAATAGTTTAGTTACGTAACAATTATACGATAAAAGTATACGCATAGAATTGGTCCATGAAAGGATCCCAAAAGTTACCATTCATTGTGCTTATCGGAACCTAACACTATGTTACTATTATCCGTGAAAATGGTTAATATCAGGAACTGATTCCAGCTAATATAGCCATTGTGAACTAGGAAGCATTGGTTATAAGTGTCTTGTATAGATATAGGACTCTTTTGTAGAACAAATCCTACGGCTCTACTTGTTATATCCCGATGACAATAACGAGTGGTAACTTTTAGGATCCATTATGAACCAATACTATACGTATATTTTTATCGTATGATTGTTAAGTAACTAAACTATTCATAATCGTGTTCCTCTTGTCATAAGCTTTATTCTGACCTATGAAATGCTATTATACGATTTACCATTCTGGAGTTATGCCCTGTCTATCGATTACTACCTTACACATTCATAGCCACTTTTGGCTAATTCTTGTACAAATGTTGTTTCCTATTTTGTGGTGCGATGTGGTCTTTTTGGTTTGTATATAAACCCAGTATGTTTGAAATAAATGATTCATATCGCAGAGGCTGAGATTGGACCATTAAGGACTCTAGACTGTTCGTACGGGTTTTACGCGTCATTGGTCTGGTCGATAATTGACTGTTCTCTAATTGACGGTATCATTATGTCATATACTAATAGGACACAGAGCATAAATTATAATACTATCAAACCTCAGTGCCAGAACTCATTAGACTAATCGCAAGAGCGTTATCTTTAGATGATCTAGTTAACATTCAATGAACTACAAGAACCAAAATCAGTAAATTCACGGTATCGCACGATTATCGCTAGCGCAAACACCGACAAAACCAGAAAAAACATGTATAGCATGAACAACTAATTATGTATGAAAGCTATGAAATCGCCGATTGACTATGTATGGAAATGTGGACATTTTGTTTACTATGATGAACATCACAACATAAATAAATTTAATGATTAAACTCACTTTTTCACGTGCCCATTCAATACAATGAATTGGTAAGGTCGGAAATGATTTCAATGTACAATATGGTATTGTATTCACTTGACTATCAATATTTCCATTACCATCTACATCATTGTTATTATGAACATCATCATCCATTTGACTATTATATGATTCAGTAATATCAGGTAAAATTACTTGAACATGACCTTTAGTGCCTAAAGTACCAGATTCAATCAATGGTAAATGTAGTGTTACACAACGTGAATCTAAATAACGACGTGTTGGTACACAATCTAAAGCAGCTAGTACAATACCATGTTTATATGAAGTATTGAGTATTGAAGGAGATGTTATCCCTTGTTTGTAATTACTGCACTTTGTTGCTTGTAATAAAAATTCATCAGTGAAAATAGTCTTTTCAGTATTTGGCCAAACTGAAAATTGGGGAAAAACGAACAAACAAACAAACAAAAAATTGGCAGAAATGAAAAGAATAAAACTGTGGATAGATTCGATTAAATTACTTTCTATGATAGGAGGCTATGAGGATAGTTGAAGTTCAAAGTTTCACGTAACGAACTTACTTTGGTGCGAGTATCATCGAAAATTAGGAAGCGATATAGAGCTTTCTAATCCTAGTACAGGATTCCTCAGCAATGAATGTTGATGACTTCATCAAGAATTGAACCCAGAGTTAACGTTCGGACATGGAATTCAAATGAAAAGCCACGATGTATAGAGTTCGGTCACGAGACAACTAACACCAGTCGCAAACGATAATAGACCGGCAAGATTTCAAATTGAAATTAGAAATGAAAACCGCTGGATGTCAAATCGATAGTCTAGAATTTAGGTGGTCACTGAGATGTCTGAAGACCATGGGTTCAACTCTAGGCAGGATAGGGGATAAGGACTAGTAAGGTATTTTAAACTAGAGTGCAACAACCCTTCGGTAATTCCTGGTTCCCAATGGTTCTCTAAACAAGTTCATTGTGTAATGTCAAACTATAAACTCAATGAATTTTTCTAATTTTAAATGAAAATAATTTGACTGTATTGTATTAATCAATGGATGTGTTACGGTTGAGAAATCTATGAATAGCTTTGTAATTCTTCAACATTGATACTGAATACTGGATACACTCCTAGCTGAAGGCCCCGCGTTAAGCATCCGCACTACATCACACTGAGATACCTCGTGTTGTGCATCTCCTACAATAAATATTCAGCTTAGATTTCATACACTAAGATACATTGACCTATAATTCAAAATGTACTTTGATATCCTGTTATTTTCGACATTTTGCTTTACTGACTTTTAGGTCATTGAGTAAGGAAAGATTTCGGAAAGTAGCATTGCCGGATTTCGCGTGTCTGCTATCCTCTTCAGATGTACCTGGAATAGACTTAGACAAATGATGATATCATACTTGCTGCAGGGAGATAATACTGTCCCATCCTTCAGTATTACCTCTTAATAAAATCTGTCGTCTTACAGAATGTTGATAATAAAATTTTCTTACAACTAAACTCAATATGATGTTAATAATGAATTTTGGAAAGCGAAAAGGTGTATAAATTGTTTCATCAGTTTAATCTGGCTTCAGAGCTTTAATCAACATTATGAGAGTTGATCATATGGAAAATAACTTTTTATTTGCTCAGTTAGTCATACAAAATATAGAACCTGAAACATGTGTACATCAGTTCAAGTTGCCACACCATATGAGCTCAGCGAAATGAAATCGTCAGAGCAAATCTCAGAATTCCAGAGGTAGTAATACTAATGGTGATAATAGAAAAGATCAGGCGTCAAAGTGGCGATTGGAGTAGAAATTATGGTTTAGTGGAGTAAAATCGTTTATGAGTTTATTTTTTAAGTTTAGACCGTACTAAAGAAAGATATAGAGTGAACGTACCTATGCTATTGCGATATATTCTGAGCCCTGTTATCCAAAATCTCCAAGCACTGATTACAATCATGCCGACACTGATAATGTAGTTTGCACTTACCTATATGGCTCAGTCCAACAACCGATGTCTTGATAGTGTGGTGTGAGATTTTAGTTTGAGTGGCCTTAGGCTTCTTGCAACCTATTCGCGCATTAGTCATCATCGGGTGTCGACTTGTGTAGTGGATTGAAACACACACATAAGGTAAGCTTTTGAAGCTCATTTTAGCATTTCATCTACAGTTTTTGACTGTCATCTTATAACTAATAATCTGGCATTCTTATTTGAATGATTGAATATCTTTAACCGTCAATAGCATTTGTTCAGATGAATTTTATCAGTTTTATATGTAACTAGAGGACAATAAAAATGATCGCTTAATACTAATCAATATAATCATCTACTAGATCATAGTGTCGATTAATTTTATTGACCAAGTTGTAATTTAGTGAAAGCGACTCGGTATCTCTTGTACTACATTTTGATGTCAGACGAATGGATGGGATCTGTAAGCACTAACGGATCTAAGTTTTCTGTTAATTCAGACTCATCATAGCAAAGTGCATTTGAAATCTTGAAGGAAATTAATATTGGAAAGAATTTAGTTACTCAAGGCGCGAGTGTTGTTCATGAAATTGAGAGAACGGAAAGCAAATGTCCGGTGCTTTAACCGGGTTGGTGGACACGGAGAGTTCACCTAGGGGAGTTGAAAAACCCTCATTTCAAGCCAATGGTGCACATGGTATCCAGGATCCTGAAGGAACAAATGGTGTATGAACCTATTGTTGGTCACCAGCTACTACGGGACTGCATCTCCTGACGTTGCTCCACTGCCTTGTGGATCAAACCTTTGGGTCAAAGGCTCCGTATGTGGCCCTCTAAGAAAATCACCTGCTTCGGTCTGGGCACCCGGGCAATATCACAGCTCACACAAATCAAGTGACTTGTGTGGCGCATATGTATTCGGTGCCCCTTTGTACCAATATTTATGTGTTCGAATAAATAAAATAAATAAATAAACTATTCAAAGAGGAACTAGTTTAACACATTTATTCGACAACAGATTAAACGAATAATTGAGTGGTAAAACTTTCGGCTGCAACAATATGTGATACAGGCAACGACTCTGTAACAGAATTCAATTCCTTTATGGTTGTAGTAAACCTTCGTCAGCAAGTATCTTCCCCGCAATATCTCTAACTCACTGACTTTGAACATTAGAAACATCTATCCACAGAGTATGTTTGACCTGTAGCTTACGTAAATGATGAGTTTATTAATTGTTTGAACCGTTGTTGCTACCTTGACGTGGTGGTCGGGCTTGCCTATCGTGATGAAGCAACCGAGCTATACTGACTGGAACAACCGTTCCTCAAGGTCCTACCACGTCAGAAAGGTCGGTTGAAGAGCAGTAGGACGGATATCCGTCTCCGGCGTTAAGATCTCAACAAGTACGGAGCTAACACAAAAATTACCCATAAAAAGGTCGTGTGTGACCGACCTCAAGCAGTAATCCCCTGGGTACTGTGGTCACACTCCCAGGTCACTAAGACCACCTCTAATCCAATTTCCTTTTCAGGTACCTGCAGAAGAATCCTTCTACGGTGTGGGCAACCGGGGAGTGATAACCACCCTCATACCTCTAACAACACTCAAGACGACTAATTGTTTGGACAGTAAAAGATTTTTAAAAAATACTAAATTTAGCTCACATTTATCACACATCGCTCTCACTGATATATTTGGATTAATTCTCTTAGCAGTATCACATGCAATTTGACTTTTTGACAAACCAATATGACATGATTGAAAAAGAAATTGTCGATTTAAATTTGACTTCTCAATATGATCAGGATCAGTGACAATAATATTCGGGCACCTATTATTAATGATTGATTCACTTAATACAGATTTTATTGATTGTCTTTGAGATGTAGAAACTTGATGTGATATAATTGACTTGACAATTGTTTCAGAATTATTAGTGAGTTGATTATTAGGATAAGGTGAATTGCCGTGTTCTTGTTGACCGTCTACCGCTGAATGTGACAACGTTTGATGATGATCCCTATCATCAACATTCGCATGAGACATCAATGAAGCATCGAATGTTGTATTATATGTAAATTGATTGTTGTTTTCTTGTTGTTCATATTGATGACGACGATAACAACATTGATGTTGATTAGAATCAGTCACGTTGTTTGCTGAATGTAAATCATCATCATTAGATCCAGCAGTGGCTACACCTAATAATGCTAAATTCTTTAATAATTCACAACCAATCGCACCACAACCAACCTGTAAAACAATAACAATGAAGAAGAAAGTCAAACGCGAAGTGAAGTAGCACACAAATGGCTTCCTAATAAGTAATGACCAATCTTATGTTTTTTTTTCTAGTAATTCAGTGTTGATCAAATTCTATTTACTAAGTTACATTGTGTTCACTAATCAAAGTGACTTGATATCATGTATCAAGTTGACGGTTGGAAGTGTCAGCAAAACATCCCAGATTTTGAAGCTGGATGATGAAAGTTTGAGACATACGAGTGTAGCATTAGTTCCTTCAAGATTACAGGTATACCTTGGTGACGAAGTGAATAGTGATAATTCAAACACTATGACTACTATCAATTCTATGAGTATAATAGATGAGCATTCCTGATGGATAGAAAAAGACAGTCGTCTATATTTCCATCAATAGCTGAATACCATCTGTTGACTTTTTCAAACTTTATGATTCTACTATCATAGTTGTATATAAAAATGGGATTTGATTCCCTGATAATGAACTGTTAAGTCAATGAGTTATTAATTTTGCTTTTAGAGATCTATTCCTTAGTGATTAGTTCTATGAAGGGAAGGTGACAGGTAAAAATCAGTCAGTCAGTCAGTAACAACGTAGAACTTCGTACGTACGTACATCAGTTCCAGTTGCCATACCACATTAGCACGGAGATGCAGTTGTCGACTCAAATTCCGTAGTGGTAGAGGTAGTAAGAGTATAAGTGGTAATCAGAAACAGTTAAAGGAGATAAAGTCATATTCAGTAATACCTATCTGATCCGAATCCATCAAATGTCATCAAAATAAAATAGCCCATTGATACACCCCACAAATTAACAGTTCAATTGTATAATTAATTGATTAAATTATAAAACGATTTTAAACATTAAAACAATATAACATACCATAAAAACACTTAAATTATGAATTTTTTGAAGATTTGACACACCGATACATTGAATTAAAGCGGCATAACGACTTGACAAATAACTGTTGCATAAAAGAGATTATGTAATAAGTGGTATGTATAAATACAGAATAATAATAATAATAATAATATATGAAGTAAAAGATTACAGAATAGACGACAGTTAGCAAGGATGATCAGGATGAATTTCAAACAGAAAATATAGTTATTTTAAACATTAGTACAAGAAGGCGCCAAATAGACAATGTGGCACATAAGTCATTCATTTGAATTGTGTGAGGGCTGGGATACTGATCGGGTGCCCAAACCGAAGATAGTTTTCTTAGGAGGCCACACCAAGAGCCGTCGATCTAAATGTCTGATCCATAAGGCAATGGAGCAATGTCACGAGATGCTGTCCCACGGCAGCCGGTGTCCAATAATTGGTTCATACACAATTTGTTCCTTTAAAATATTGGAGACCATGTGGAGCATTGGTTTAGAATGAGGGTTTTCCAACTACCCTAGATGGATCCTCCATATCAACCAACCCGATTAGAGCCGGACACTCGGTTTTCGTCCTCTCAATTTCTTAAACAACAATAATGCCGCGAGAAGGCAGTGAGTAAGACTTCCATGTCAGTGGCTGTATACGCGTCAACATGTGAGAGCATTTCGCGATGAAGAGCTAACTCTCCCTACTCTCGGACGTACCAATGTATTTGGGTGCTTTATTTTATTTCAAGCAAAAATAATATTATAAGTAACAAAGGAATACTAGTTAAGTAACTGTGTATACCTTATTACTGATTTGTTAATCAAGATTTATGGTGGTTATTAGAAAAGTCTTCAATTAGGTGTATTTATGTTCTTTGCTAATCTTATAAAACAAAAACAAGCTCATAGGTTGTTGATAATTTTGATACTCTATAAATTCATAGAATAACAACGATTGTTTTAACTAAAAATATCCTTCACCAGTATTTCTCATCGAACTAGGATGTTGGACCCATCTATGGAATCAATGAATGCTGAACTAAACAACTTAGACAGATACAGACTATCTGGGTGAGGTAAATGTGTTAATGGTGAAGCCGTATGTGATCAACTTGTAACAGCTGTTTCGTGAGACTTGACGACATGTTCACAATTCATCAAGGCTACATCTAACCCAATTCCTTTATCAAATTCCTTGGGAAAAAGAATTATTCTACAGGATGGGCAACTGGGGAACTGTCTTCATACTCCTAGCAGGATTTGAAAGTGGCATACGTTATGGAACAATTAATTTCATTTGGACTGTTTATTAATCAATGTTAGGCTTCATAGAAAGAGAGAGAATGGAATGAAGATATTAACTTATGAATATTTATATATATTTTTAGTAGTTGAGATCATAAATCAATCGAAGCTAGAACACCATGGGAAACCTAGAAGCACTGGACGACCGTTTCGTCCTACTGTGGGACTCCTCAACAGTGGGCATCCACGATCCCACCTCGCGAGGTCCGAACCCAGGTCTAGAGGCTAAGCACTCGCGTGCGAGTCTGATAAGTCCTGAGTTCGAATCTCGCTATGCGGGATCGTAGATGCGCAGTGCTGAGGAAATCCATAATACGATGAAACGACCATCTAATGCTCCCACGCATTCCATGATGGTCTAGCTCCAATTGAATCATGATCTCAACTATTAAAATTATTATAATATCCACAAAACCCCTTCTAATATTTATATATTCATTTTATCATAAATTATTAACATTAAGAATGATTATACTCGGAATGAGTAGATTAATTACATTGCATGATCTATGAGAGGTTTGAAGGATTTTGAAAAGAGGGTGATACTTACACATTATCGTTTGGTTCAAAAATTAAGATACAATGAATTGTTCACATACTTTCTCTTCTCTGAATGGATGTCCAGTTAATAACGATTAGTGATGAAAATCAACTTTTACGTATAATTTCGGTATATTTTGATCATAGTAAACTGTAACAATGATTGTGGGCGGCCTATGCAACTTGTGGCGGCCCCCAAATACCGTGGTACGGCCGACAGTAGGGACAGTCCACTCTATATCTCGAAATGCTCCCACACGGCCACACGTATATAGCCTCTGCCAGGGAAGTCATACTAATTGCCTTCATGTGGACGGGGTATTGTTTACGAACTTGAGAGGACGCAAACCGAATGTCCGGCGATTAACTAGGGTTGGTTGATATGGACAGTCCACCCAGAGGAGCTGGAAAACCCTCATTAGAAACCAATGCTCCACATGGGCTCCAGTGTCCTGAAGGAACGAATGGCGTATGAACCAATCGTTGGTCAACGGCTAACATATGACTGCATCTCCTGACGTTGCTCCACTCCCTTGTGAATCAGAAGTTCAGGTCGAAGGCTCCGGATGTGGCTCCCTAACAAAACCTACATGCTTCGGCTTGGTCAACCGATCAGTATCACAGTACACACATATAACCAATGAAATTTGATAGGAGCATATATATCTGGTGCATCCTTGTACAAATATCTATGTGCTAAAATAAAATAAAAATATATTATCCTTAAACTTCGTATACAGTTCGTATTGACAACCGTCACTAGATAATACCCCAACGGTATATTAATCAGAAGGCGAATACGAAGTGTTGATTACTTTTATTATGGGACCACACACAGATATCCAAAATTACAGGTACGTTAAACAAGCATGAAAGAGTTGTGCCGAAAGGCAAGGAGGCAAGCAAGCGAGCGAGCGAGCAAGTGAGTCAGCGAATACGAGTACGAGTAGGCGGGTACAATTGGGCGATATAGAGCAGCGAAGATGAATAACATTGACATATATGTACATAGTGAAATGAATGAATGAATCATCGAATCAATTTAGCGGTTAGTAGTAAGGCTAGCAGTGTGAATAAATGCTTAGGCAGTAAGCAAATGCTCAAGCATACATGTTCATACATTCTCAACAGTAATAAAGACACAATGGTATAGATAAGTTGCTATTGTACGAATGACTCTATCTGTTAAATAAGTTAACAAAAAGGGTTTAACCGAATTAAATGTGAACAAACTCAATTGCACGTGAGTTGCTATAATAGTCCCCCCCAGCAAACAAAGATACAAAACAGTGTCTGTGTTTGAGAAGAACAATGTCAAATTTAACAGAAGGGTAAATATTCGGAATTTACGAAATTAAGATGTATGATAAAACTATCGTGTAAGTTATTACAAATACATGTAAGTTTGAGTTCGTATATGTCCCTGAGGCCAAATAAGATAATAATGGAAGATCGAAAGGATACATAAAGTATGTCGAATATAAAAATAGATAAGTTAATATTTTCGATGTGTACATAGAAAACGAAGATGAAAGAAATTTACATCCGAAGAGGTGAAAGAAATTATTAACTCAAAATCGTAGCTATATATCGTTGCGGCCATCTCACTCTTCAACCATATCTTGTCGTTACTGGATTCTCTTTGTTTGTCTTTGTCGATGTTGTTGATGATTGAAACTCACATTTCGGTGATTCAATGGTTTTCGAAGTATCTCTATGTACTGGCTGATCGTCGGTTTCGATGAAAGCTGGTTTGATTCGGTCGATGCCAATTACATCCGTTTTTCCAGCTCTGTCTGCCGTAATAGTCTTCTCGTTTCTTTTAATCACTTTGAATGGACCATCGTAGGCCGGTTGTAAGGGACGCTGCACATTATCCCTTCTGATAAACACATGGGTACTGTCGCTCAGCTGTTTTGGTATGTACACACGGTGTTGATGTTGCCTCGGGAGCGTTATCCTTAGATTACTCATATGCTGCTTTAGATGTTGTACATAGTTGGCTATATCAGTTGGAACTGTCCTGTTAGACGTACAGTGGTTCCATAAACCAATTCTGCTGGGCAGCATCCTATATTTTGTTTGATTGTTGATCTTAAACTCAACATGACTAATGAGAGCTTGCTGATCCAATCATTACTGCTAGTGACAACTGTAAGAGAGGCTTTGAGTTGTCGATGTAATCTCTCTACCATACCATTCGACATCGGATGGTAGGATGTTGTGCGAATTCGCTTGATTCCGAGGAGCTCTGTGAGTTGTTGGAAGAGGCGGCTCTCAAATTGAACTCCTCTATCGGTTGTAATATTAGTAGGCACGCCATAATAGGAAATCCAACGCTCTACTAGGGTTTTTGCTATAGTTTCGGCTGCAATGTCTTTTATGGGAAATGTTACAGGCCATCGCGTGAATCTATCAATGCAAGCGAAAATGTAACCAAAGCCATTCGAAATCGTCAGCGGTTCCATAATATCGATATGTATGTGCTCGAATCTGCTATCGGGGTGACGGAAATGACCTACTGTGGAACCGGTGTGGCGATGTATCTTAACTTTCTGGCATTTTATACACCCTTGCGTCCAGTTACAAATATCCCGGTTCATACTTGGCCATAAGAAACGCTCGCTGACTAGCTTGATGGTAGCCTTTATTCCAGGATGCGAAATATTGTGCATAGCTTCGGAAATGTTTCGTCTTAGTGGCTTTGAAATAAATCGTCGTGGTTGGCCCGTAGAAATATCGCACATGATGCTTACTTTTTCCAATGGAGTTTCTTCCAGTACTAACGAGGTTGTATTGGGAGACTTTAGTCTCTTTAACTCGACATCGATATTTTGCAATGCTGCTAATTTGTGATAATCGATTTCGGATTGTATGAGAGCGTTTACCATCGTTCTGGATAACGCGTCTGCCACTTCGTTATTATTGCCTTTGATATACTGTATGTTAGACGTAAATTGCGAAATAAATTCTAATTGTCGAATTTCCCTCGGCAAGTAGTTATCCTGTTTGGCGTTCAATGCTTTTGTGAGGGGTTTATGATCCGTATATACTGTGAAAATGGTACCCTCAATCATATGTCGGAAATGTTTTATTGCTAAATAAATCGCTAATAGTTCTCTTCCGAACGTACTATATCTCGTTTGAGTAGGATTTAATCTCTTAAAGAAAAATGAATGGTCGCCGCTCACAAGCCGGTTTCATCGAGCATCCACTAGGAGCCGTATTGCAGCAGTTAGTAAACGGTTCATTGGAACCACTTTCATTTTTCTTTAAGAGATTAAATCCTACTCAAACGAGATATAGTACGTTCGGAAGAGAACTATTAGCGATTTATTTAGCAATAAAACATTTCCGACATATGATTGAGGGTACCATTTTCACAGTATATACGGATCATAAACCCCTCACAAAAGCATTGAACGCCAAACAGGATAACTACTTGCCGAGGGAAATTCGACAATTAGAATTTATTTCGCAATTTACGTCTAACATACAGTATATCAAAGGCAATAATAACGAAGTGGCAGACGCGTTATCCAGAACGATGGTAAACGCTCTCATACAATCCGAAATCGATTATCACAAATTAGCAGCATTGCAAAATATCGATGTCGAGTTAAAGAGACTAAAGTCTCCCAATACAACCTCGTTAGTACTGGAAGAAACTCCATTGGAAAAAGTAAGCATCATGTGCGATATTTCTACGGGCCAACCACGACGATTTATTTCAAAGCCACTAAGACGAAACATTTCCGAAGCTATGCACAATATTTCGCATCCTGGAATAAAGGCTACCATCAAGCTAGTCAGCGAGCGTTTCTTATGGCCAAGTATGAACCGGGATATTTGTAACTGGACGCAAGGGTGTATAAAATGCCAGAAAGTTAAGATACATCGCCACACCGGTTCCACAGTAGGTCATTTCCGTCACCCCGATAGCAGATTCGAGCACATACATATCGATATTATGGAACCGCTGACGATTTCGAATGGCTTTGGTTACATTTTCGCTTGCATTGATAGATTCACGCGATGGCCTGTAACATTTCCCATAAAAGACATTGCAGCCGAAACTATAGCAAAAACCCTAGTAGAGCGTTGGATTTCCTATTATGGCGTGCCTACTAATATTACAACCGATAGAGGAGTTCAATTTGAGAGCCGCCTCTTCCAACAACTCACAGAGCTCCTCGGAATCAAGCGAATTCGCACAACATCCTACCATCCGATGTCGAATGGTATGGTAGAGAGATTACATCGACAACTCAAAGCCTCTCTTACAGTTGTCACTAGCAGTAATGATTGGATCAGCAAGCTCTCATTAGTCATGTTGAGTTTAAGATCAACAATCAAACAAAATATAGGATGCTGCCCAGCAGAATTGGTTTATGGAACCACTGTACGTCTAACAGGACAGTTCCAACTGATATAGCCAACTATGTACAACATCTAAAGCAGCATATGAGTAATCTAAGGATAACGCTCCCGAGGCAACATCAACACCGTGTGTACATACCAAAACAGCTGAGCGACAGTACCCATGTGTTTATCAGAAGGGATAATGTGCAGCGTCCCTTACAACCGGCCTACGATGGTCCATTCAAAGTGATTAAAAGAAACGAGAAGACTATTACGGCAGACAGAGCTGGAAAAACGGATGTAATTGGCATCGACCGAATCAAACCAGCTTTCATCGAAACCGACGATCAGCCAGTACATAGAGATACTTCGAAAACCATTGAATCACCGAAATGTGAGTTTCAATCATCAACAACATCGACAAAGACAAACAAAGAGAATCCAGTAACGACAAGATATGGTTGAAGAGTGAGATGGCCGCAACGATATATAGCTACGATTTTGAGTTAATAATTTCTTTCACCTCTTCGGATGTAAATTTCTTTCATCTTCGTTTTCTATGTACACATCGAAAATATTAACTTATCTATTTTTATATTCGACATACTTTATGTATCCTTTCGATCTTCCATTATTATCTTATTTGGCCTCAGGGACATATACGAACTCAAACTTACATGTATTTGTAATAACTTACACGATAGTTTTATCATACATCTTAATTTCGTAAATTCCGAATATTTACCCTTCTGTTAAATTTGACATTGTTCTTCTCAAACACAGACACTGTTTTGTATCTTTGTTTGCTGGGGGGGACTATTATAGCAACTCACGTGCAATTGAGTTTGTTCACATTTAATTCGGTTAAACCCTTTTTGTTAACTTATTTAACAGATAGAGTCATTCGTACAATAGCAACTTATCTATACCATTGTGTCTTTATTACTGTTGAGAATGTATGAACATGTATGCTTGAGCATTTGCTTACTGCCTAAGCATTTATTCACACTGCTAGCCTTACTACTAACCGCTAAATTGATTCGATGATTCATTCATTCATTTCACTATGTACATATATGTCAATGTTATTCATCTTCGCTGCTCTATATCGCCCAATTGTACCCGCCTACTCGTACTCGTATTCGCTGACTCACTTGCTCGCTCGCTCGCTTGCTTGCCTCCTTGCCTTTCGGCACAACTCTTTCATGCTTGTTTAACGTACCTGTAATTTTGGATATCTGTGTGTGGTCCCATAATAAAAGTAATCAACACTTCGTATTCGCCTTCTGATTAATATACCGTTGGGGTATTATCTAGTGACGGTTGTCAATACGAATTGTATACGAAGTTTAAGGATTATTTTGAATAATGACCACCACATGGTGATTAACTAATTACTAAAGAATATTAGCGAAATCAAAAACAAAAAAAAGTTTATCACTCACTTCTGAAATTCATTTGATTTCGTACTGACTTCAAGTGGTACAATCGATGCACAATGGATGTACAGCTAAATCATGATGAAGATAAAGAAACAATAAAAAAACGACATTTTACTTTCTAGAGTCTACTGTTGATGAATTAGTCCACTGGGAAAACATACAGTTGGATTCAAAAGATTCTGTTCATGCTTTTCGACCTCCAGTTCTTGGATTTCTCTCAAGACACTTAATATCGTACCACCAAACGCTGTGGCGAGAAAATAAACTGATCAATTTATAGTAAAAGCAGGTGAAGCTAAAGTTAATTATTGTTAGCCACTGAAGGTGATGCCACGATACTAGAGTGTTTCTAAATCCTAGGGTTTACATCACTCATCATCGCGATTCCTTCGGCAAATTCTGGCCTATCTGACTTGGAGGTGTCTAAGAACCCTGTACATCTATCATGGTATCGAAACGATTGCTGACAATCCCGTCCCAATGGTTTACAGGTTTAGGATTCACGTGCGCGGACGAATATCTTTGGTTTGGTTCCCGCATTTAGGGTTGTGGATTTGCACTGCTAGAGAGTACAAAGATAGGATGAAACGGCTGTTCACTGATTTCAGGTTTTCGATAGCGGTCTAATTTTGATTGGTTCGTGATTTCAATGAAATCATATGCTACTTGTTGGCATATTAGAAATATATTATTGTCCTAACATTATGAACAATCCACTCAATGCATAATTTACATAAAATTATCAAGACAACACATCGCTACGGATACAATTCTGGATTAAATTTTTTGTAGCAAAGTCTGTATAGGGCAGATGAGGGATTTATTTATTTTGTGGTGTGCGCTATTGATGTCAACAGATATAAGTAGTACGTATCATCAACAAAAAGTGAAATGTCTGACGGCAGAAGGTTAAAAAGATCGAAGGAAAGAGAACGAGAACGGAGAATGATTGGTCTGGAAACGAAAGAGACGATTGATTGACAGTTTGTGAATGAAGTATTTACTGTATGGTTCTCAGATTTTACTAAGAGATTCTGTAACTTCGTATTGAAGTACACTCGTTTGTCTCCACTTGTGTTCTCGTTCGCTACAATTTAGCTGCTACATATTTATGTATTTGGTTTCAAATTATACAGTAAATTTGAAGGCTGATGATACTTACCAGTTGGATAGACAGAAATAGGTGAGGTGGGATTCAAACTTTTAAATTGTAATAGCGGGAAGTTGGATGTCTTGACCCCAATGAACCATCACTGAACTAGTGAAAATGTATTCACTCTGTCTCTTTCTCTATTTTTTTATTTATCTATTTTAATATCATTTCATAAGTATCATACTCTTATTCTGTTTTGATGGAGTTTTGTTCTCTGAGCTGGATGGTTTGCTCGTGGAGCTTTCATCGTTCTTCTGAACGACCTTATGGCCAATAAGAATCAATCAACATCGAAGTCTACAGGACAAGTTGTGAACCACATGTGGAGAAATTCGAACACTTCACTTCTACTTGACGTTTGTGCTAATGAACGATGAAAGCTCCACGTTCAAACCATCCAGCTCAGAGAACAAAATTCCATCATAATCATCCACCTTAGCTACAAATCTCCACCATCTCCTATTTCATATCTTCTATTTAAGGTATAATCTCTATTGTTAGCTTGTCTCAATATTATTGATACTAGTATTTCGATTCTTTTGCTTTGCATCTCTACAACCTCATCTTGTGTTCATTTGGCAACTTAAACTGCCGCGTATTCATGTGCCATATCTTAACGCTGGTTATAGGACTAGTTTTATTATAAAGTTGAAATTAGTGTAGAATTATCAATTACTGTTAATATATAGTACTTACAAAACTATATGGTATTGTTTAACTACTCATTAAGTTCAATTATACACTTATAATATAGTTCATTTTCACGGGTCCTAATAAAACTTACCCATTGATTAATTGGTGTAAATGTAAATGTAATCGCTTTCATAGCTTCTTGTGCAGCTATTCCACCAAAAACAGCACTTAATGGTGCTAATTGTCCTTGACTAGCAAAGGCTAAACGTTTTACTAACGATTCATTAATTTTAATTGGCTGCAATGGAAAAAAGAGAAAGAAAGAATTAAGTTATTATCAAAAAATTAACTGTGGACTTAAATATACACGTTTATTACTATTAACCATTTGTCAGCTGGATACATTTATATCCCAGTGTTGATGTCGACTCCGAGACTTGAACCCAGTACTTCTCGCTTTAAATAGTAATGATATAGGTATTAGACCGTTGAACAAGTTAGTAGCTATCCGGACGCAATAAATCAGTGGATAATGTGTCAAGCACTTGGAGCCAAAGGTATTGGGGTTGGAGTCTCTATGTAAACTTCAGGTTCGTCCAGTTAACGTATTTCCATGTTTTGAAATTTCATTACTTATCCAGTATTCAATACTAATGTATTTACAATTGTACAAACAATGTTTCAATTGGTCACTCACTCACTCATTCAAACTTATTCGTTCATTCATTCCCACAAATGCCCTGGTACTGTCGAGGGTGGGGAGATTCAGCTCACTCTCTCCAAATGCTCTCACATGGCCATGCGTATACAGCCATTGCCAGGGAAGTCCTACTCACTGACTTCTCGTGACATTACTGTTGTTTACGAAATTGAGAGGACGAGAACCCAATGTCCGGCGCTCTAACCGGGGTGGTGCATATGGAGGATCCATCTGAGGGACTTGGAAAACCCTCATTCCAAACCAATGCGCCACATGGGCTCCAGTATCCTGAAGGAACAAAATGGTGAATGAACCAATTATTGGTCACCGGTTGCCACGGGACAGCATCTCGTGACATTGCTCCATTGCCCTGTGGATCAGACCTTCAAATTAAATATTCTAGGTGTGGTCCCCTAATAAAACTATCTGTTTCGGTTTGGGCAGCCGATCAGTATCCCAGCCCTCACACAATTCGAATCAATGATTTATGTGTCACATATTTATCTGGTGCCTCCTGGTACAAATGTTTATGTGTTTAAATAAATGAATACTCGAAGTACAAGACAATCAGAGTTGAGAAAATACGACTTTTCGAGTTTTGAACGAACTACAAATATCATATACAATGATTAGTAGAAATACGTTCGTATACTGCTCCAAAATCTTTACAATAATAATGAATAATTATTTTTTACCACCACAGAGTAAAAATGAATTCATTTGGTATTGTTTACTAGAATCTTCTCATTGATGTTTAGGACTACAATTGATCAGTCTCTTATTGGCATATGTGTATACTGTGCGTATTGCCTTAATTCATAAGCTAAGTGGACAACGCGATGATGTTCGAAACAAACGGTACTGGGTTCGAGTCCCAGAGTGAACATCTATTCTGAAATCCAGATACATCCAGTTGACGAGTCCCAAATAAGGCGAAACATGCGTCCCCTATGAAAACCACCCGGGCAATATCACAGCCCACTCACAAATCAGGTGACTTGTATGGTACATATCTATTTGGCACCCCCTTTGTACCAATATTTAGGTGTTCAAATAAATAAATCCCCCCTAATCTACCTATTTATTCATTCATAATTAATAACTTAAACATGTATTTATTAATAGTAATTTGATATTGATTACTTACATTTCCCATTTGTAGCTTATGTAATGTGAACAATTGATCACGAAATAAATTCCAATCATTTTCATCCCTTCGGGGTTTTTTTTTATAGTAAAATATAATAGATAAAATGAATTGTACATTATCATGTTTCAATAAAATAATGAAATTGATAATTACTAAAAGGGGAACTTTTATAAAATTGTTTTTTTTTCTATTTCAACATAGATACTAATTATTGATTACAACACGAATTTAATGACAGATATTTAATGAATTTAAACCAAGGTCTAAGGTTTCCCCTATTGACTAACTCTCTAACCACCATCTCATCTCAACACAGTGTATGCAATGTCGACTCACCTAGACTGGTAGCTACATTGAAACTTGGTTGATAGGATAAGATTTTCACTAGAAAAGACCTGAAATACATGACATTGATCACCACCCGGTGATCAATCAATTGTAACACATATATTCACTATTGAATAGACCAAGGATATACCATAGTGCTATTGTAGTGTATGCTACTTATGTTAACAGATATAAGTAGTATGTAGTAACAATCAGAAGCGAAATGCCGGACAGTAAATGATTGAAATGAAGAAAATAAGAATAAAATTGGAAGGCAATCCAAATAACAGCAAAATTAAAAGAATGACAGAGTGAGTAGAGGATAACGGACAGTAGATGTATTTAATGTATGATTTTGAATTCAACAACAAATTGCTTCACAACACTATTACTGACAGAAATGAATGACCAAGGAATACTAATAGATTTTATCAATAAGAGGTAAGTAACCGAAGTAATATTTAGACGATGATTACATTTAGTGTATGGGTAGTGGCGGAAATTAGGACGCATGTTTTGTCCCATTTGAAAATCAGTAAAACGGATGCGCCTGAATTCTAGTGTTGATGCTCACATTGAGACTTCAGACGCCAATGTGTTATCGAATGCAAACATTATCACTGTGATACAAGTACATTCAACTGAATGGATGTAAATAGGACAAAATGCGTATTCTGAATATCACCATAAACGACATACTAAATATAACATAGGTTTAATTAAAGACTCAATGGAAGTAACACACATAAGATAGGAAATAATCAATTACAGTCCTAGATGTCAACAACGGGAAATTACAAACCCTTACTAGTAAGATGATTGGATCCACTTGAAATTAAGATGGTCAGTAGTATGTATAATTGAGAAGAATCAATTTAGCAGAAATGAACAGATTATCATGCTCGTACAATGTAGGAGAGCGAGAGTTTTCCGAATTGCTGCGGAAATAAAGAGAAGCACCCAACTGCATCACAAGGCAAGCCCTCACATGGAATCCTCAAGGTCAAAAGAGAAGAGGAATACCAAAGAACACATTACATCGAGAAATGGAGGCAGACATGAGAAGAATGAACAACAATTGGATAGAACTAGAAAGGAAGGCCCAGGACCGAGTGGATTTGAGAATGCTGGTCGGCAGCCTATGCTCCATTGAAAGTACCAGGCGTAGGTAAGTAATTAAGTAAATATACCTCATTGGTTCAAACTAGAATTAATAAGATATTGAACCAACTCTTTCTTATTTCGACAAACCTTAAGCAATTCATTCAATTATAGAAAATATAGAAATAATCTAAGAAGGATCTAGTTCATATTAACAAAAGTTCAGTAGTAAACGATTTTATTCGGTATAAAACATACAGGCATAAAGACCATAAGATGAATAATTTCAGAAATTCATTTATTTAATTGATTATAGTGCGAAAGTATACGACATCTTTTAAGATACAACTGACAATGTGTGCTCACAATAAGACTTGGAGGTCCTCGCGTATTCGTTTTTTGAGTAAGTTTGTGGGTGTATAATGATATGGAATCTATAACCAGGAAGAAATACACAAAGTTCTAACTGATTTCTAATAATTCTCCAAGTATTGTCACAGTTTAAGGTGTAAATTACTTTTAAAATCAATCTACCTTGTTTGATCATTAATATGTGCCTTTTTTACCATACAAATGCTCACACAAATTTATGGATCACATGATGATGGCGGTGATGACCCCATACAAATTTAAGTACTCTGTTTTGAGCTGCACTTTAAGAGTGACGGCTAGTGATACCACTCGATTGTCCAGATCGAAATACCGCGAGGAGGATATGAACCTGAAACTTAGTGGTTGAGAGTTGAACGCTTTAAGCACTAATCCAACGCTCACGAAGTTAGGTCTATGCATTGAAGAGTGACAATGGAACGTGTTGCACATACTGAACCAAACACTCCCTCAGTGATCTATATTTATATTTGTCAAATACTTACATGTTTAATATAATTGATCGCACTGTTATACTGACATGTATATGCGGTATATAATGTAATCATATCTCATTGTATTGGATTTCACTCTTCTACAGCCATTGTGAGTTTGTCTTATTAAGTCGATAAATATGTACTTGATCATTCAAAAATGGTGTCTCTTCATTCTAATTCATTCTATTTAGCTAGGTTATCAGCTATTTATCATTTCATGAGCAATTCTAAGAACAAAACTACAGTGTTTTATTTGGACATTCGAATAGTAACCATTTCGTTACCGAATCATAAATAATGAAATAACAATGAATTCTCTCGTATAATATTACGAGCTATTGAGGTAAGTCTACGTAAGATACTGAATATCTGTTGTTGGCCGGATACCATCAACAACAGACTACTGTGGGAGGGAACAAATTAAATTCGGGCTGAGGAGGAAATTAGGAGAACACAATGGAAGTGGATGTAACACATATTGAGGAAATCATCAAACTGAATCATGAGGCAAGTTTTAACTTGGAATCCTGAAGGGAAACGAAAAAAAGGAAGGCCAAAGAACACACTGAGTCAGAAATTGAAAACAGACATGAAAAGGATGCATGGCAACCGAGAAGGATTGCCCAGGACAGATTTGGATGAAGAATGTTGGTGAACGGTCTATGCTCCTCCATGAGGGGTAACAGGAGTAAATAAGTAAGTAATTGGGGTAAGTGAAAGAAAGATGGACGATTTCGCATTAAGTGAAACATCGATTTGAATTTGATATCCATGACTAAAATTAAGTCCAATGCATAAAGACGAATAACTATTTAAGGTTTGAAACATGAGTAATGAAATACATGTCTAAGTATTCAGGTCATTAATTACATTTTATTACAATGGATAAATATACTACTCAGATGTTTAAATAAAAATAGATGAAGTATAGTTTGAACTAAGGAGCCACAGTTCTCATTTAGGATGTTTACGACAAAACAACTATCCAACAAACCAGATACAAACACTTACAGGCATAGGTTGACCTAAAAAGAAAAAAAACAAAGGAGTTCAACATACCACGGTTTGGGATAACGGCCAGTTTCTACATTGAACCTCATCAATGTTAAGTATGTTAAATGTAACAAGTTTCCTTCCTAGTTGAAGCAAAAACAATCAAGGGAAACAATAGGAATAAGATTTAATTAGAAAAAGATATTGAACATGAAACAGAACGCTATCATTATCATGAAGGTTACTTAATTGAGTCGAATTGTTCAAAGCCACTAACAGGACGACACGAATAATTAAGGTTAAGTAGTTTTTTGACAAAAGAATCAGTCTTTTCTCTGAATCACTACTTACTATGTACAGGTTTGTGTATTCGGTTTTCAGTTACGCTATTTCTGTGTGAGAGCTAGTGAAACCACTTGGTTAGTGGAGCCGAATCAGCTGGAGCAAGGTTGAAACAAGCGGTCAACTAGTTGAAAGCCGTATTTTTTAATTCTGTGACCAGTAAACAATACAAAATGAACAATCTAAGCTAATAGAATAAATTTTAACGTACATTATCATCGAACGGGCAGTCAATAGGTAGGTAATCATTCAACACACACTGTTAACTAGTTCCTTTATACTACCTCATTAACGCTTCGTCAACTGAAGAAAGGTTTAAATACCACACTAACTCTCGTGATCTGGAGATGATGGAAAAGCTTATACAAAACACTACACTCAAAATATTTTAATAACTTGACTGTCTTCACTTCTTGACTTTATATGTGTTGATACGTTTTTGAAATTGGATAAATTTCGGTAAGACGGCTGATTACTAATTGACCCGAGTGACAAGCCTCTGAAAATTTACTGGTCTTCTTTAGATTATCTTTGTCTAAGATTTCGAAATTTCCCAAAACGAACTTGTGTCCAAAATTGTCTACGTACATTGATGTAAATAAAGATATATCATAGTTTTTTATACGTAATTGGTGTTCATACAGACAAAGTTGAAGAGGTCGGTCAATCCTGATGGATGAGAAAGATACTTCAAAAGTTACAATTAGATTATTGAGACAATTTGGAAAAGGTGTAATCCATAAGCCAGTAAAATCGCTTTGTTCAATCTTGTGCAAATCAAAAGATAACATGACAAAAAAGGAAAGCTGAACAACATCTATAAAATAAGCTGACCCAACTACAACACCAACTACCAATGAAACACTACGAGGTGACTTCATTTACATCAATGTACGTAGACATGAGTTTGTTTGGGGAAATTTCGCGGCTTGAAACTAAAAAATTTATAGACGCCCGATATGTATATGTATCACTCCTTATAGTAAAATTGACTAGACTGCACCATAGCAGCTAGTTTTTCGAGTGCAGTGTAAACAGGGTACACTCGAAAGGCGGCAAGTTGTGTTCAATGTCCAAGACTTACCAGGACTAGGAAACCACCGGAGTTAAGGGTAGTCTCCCTTAGACAGAGGTAATCTAAAGAAGACCAACGAATTTTCAGAAGCTTGACACTCGGATCAATTAGCAATCAATGATCACATCTAAATCTATCCAACTTATCAACCAGTTATAAAAATTACAAACCATCTTAACTTCGAGATGGAAGATAATCAAAATACCCAGAGAGTAACGAGAAAACTTTTAACAAAAACTAATCAAATTTAATGTTGAAAAAAACGAGCTATTTGTTAATAAAGGAATAAATCCTCACAGCACACTTCGATCTGAAGTTTGTACTGATGATATTGTCTAGAATGACAATGAGAGTTTCATAATCCAACCATCCAGTTCAAAAAACGTATCTCTATTAAAATCATCTTCCTGAACTGTTAATATTCGCCACTATCTCAACTCATGTGTTTTTTTCACATTTTGAATGTTAATATCACTTCATAATTCGATTACCTCAATTTCATTGAGCTTTTCAAATTATACTTGCATAATAAACTTACTATAATATCCACAAAAACCCCTTGTGATACTAATCAACATATGCTCACTAGTGACTGGCTTCAACAGGTATTTTCTGGAGTTCTAGTGAGAAGCAGTGACCACTGAAGCGCAACAGCGTCTGTTGTGAGATAGTAGCACACTGGAAACAATAGTGGATGTGTCGCTCAATTTCGTAGATTAGTTGCAGTTAGATATTAACACCACTGAATACCGGCTCAGTGGTCTAGAGGTTAAGCATTTGCGCGCGAGTCTGATAGGTCCTGGGTTCAAATCTCGAGAGGTGGAGTCGTGGATGCGCACTGACGAGGAGCCCCACAATAGGACGAAACGGCCGTCCAGTGCTCCTAGGTTTTCCATGGTTGTCTAGCTTCAATTGAATCATGATCTCAACTATTGAAATATACTTTATATGTTTACTATTTTTAGTTCGACTCTTTTCCCACTAACCATGTTAGTTTCGTTTTTTGATGTGCTGAAGTATAAAAGTTTTCATTGATAATCTTTTATGTCAGATACAACATTGTTTACAATTGATTAGTTAATTGAGAACAATTAGTTTAACTGGTACTGTAGTGAAGAGAACACGGGTGAGGACAATCGAATGTATTTAACACAACATTACACCACTTGTTAATAAATCTAACAATCGTAAAGTAAATGCTTAATTTGTAAAATGTCCATCGATTGTCTCAAAATGATTCAGACTTCATTGTTCTTGCATTTTCATACAAATTGCATTCTGTTACCATTCTTTACTGTTCGATCCTCTTGTCTCTATGCTGCCAGACCTTCTGTTCACCACTAACATCATATACTACTTATGTCAATATAAGTAGCACATACCATAGGATTACTATACACAGACTAAATAATGCACTCTAGTTAGTCAATCAGACATAATCAACATAGAACCTGGAATAAATGTTCATTGGATCAGGTTGCTGCACCCTAAAACATCAGTAGAGTGAGATGGAATTTAATACAATAATGAATAATATTTAGTGAGTGAGTGAGAGAGAGAGGAAGTAGGAAATAACTTCAGCCATTTTTTTCACTAACCTCAGGTTCACTGAAATCCACACACATTAATTTAGGAGATTTAAGTTGTTCGAGCATAGTTTCCTAAACAAAAGTGTTAAAAAAGATTAGCCAAACTGAAATAACTAAATAAAATGGTAAATGGTAAACAGACAATTAATTTCAATGATTAAGATCATGAGTAAGTTGAAGCTAGACCACCATGGAAAACCTGGAAGCACTGGACGGCCGTTTCGTCCTACTGTGGGACTCCTCAGCAGTGCGCATCCACGACGTCGCCCCCTGCGAGATTCGAACCCAGGACCATTCAAATTAGTTTCTGATAGGTCCTGGGTTCGAATCACTCGAGGGGCGGGATCATGGATGTGCACTGCCGAGGAGTCCCACAATAGGACGAAACGGCCGTCCAGTGCTTCCAGGTTTTCCATGGTGGCCTAGCTTCAACTTACTCATGATCTTAATCATTGAAATTACTATAATATCCACAAAACCCATCTGATAGACAATTAATTGTTTAACAGTTGTAGCATTGAAGTCTTAGTTATTTGTCTGAAGGTTTGAAACCTCACCTGGGCTCGTATACTGCCTGGGTACCCAAGCCGAAACAGGTAGTTCTCTTAGGAGGTCACACCCTGAGCCCTTGACCTACAGGTCTAATGCACAAAATAGTGGAGCAATGTTAGGTGAGGTCCTATAGTAACCTGTGACCAACAATAGGTTCATACGCCACTTATTCTCTCTCTGGAGCCCATGAACACCATTGGTTTGGAATCATGGTTTTCAAAATTCTCTGGGTGGGGTTTCCGTACCCATAAGCACTATTTAAGCGCTGAATATTTATTTGTCTTGCTCTCAACTTCGTAAACAACACCCCCGCCGCAAGAAAGCAGTGGTTGTATGCACGTGGCCATGTGAGAGCATTTCGAGTGAGAGAGTTGCCTCTCCCCACTCTCGGTCGTACCAGGGTATTTCGGGGCCGTAGCTCATGTTTAAAGGAAGTTCGTATGATACTTGCTCATCCAAGATCCTGGAGCTCGCATGAAACACTGGTTTGGAATTAGTTTATAAACTCGCCAAAACGAATCGTTTATACCAATGAGTTGTGTCAAATATTCACTTTTGTCAATTTACCTGTGCAGAAGTACCCTAATCACGTGATAACAATCATTAAAATATCTACAGGAAAAGGTAAAAACATACAACCACAACAGGGCCTTTCGAGTGAAATGATGAACTTTCCGATGCACTATAACAATAGGTTTCATGAATCAGATGATAGGGGATAAAAATGTAAAATGTTCTTGCAAAAATTAAGTTTAATTATCTTATTTAGCCTTTTTATATCTGACATGATGGGAAGAAAAGTCAATCGACAAGACATATCAGTGGCGACGAGGATTTTGGAAAAAAAGAAAGCAATAACAATTTGGCGATGGAAATATTGAAAAAACGAGAACCACAACAATCACTGATCGAGCCAATTTACAAGTTCCAGTTTCCAATATAACTGTCTGGTTCCAGTTATAACTCACTTGTCAGTTTAACGTACCCCTAATCCCCTTTCCTCAGTTATAAACACACTTCTGCTTTTATTTATCAAGTCGCTGTTGCAACAAACGACGCGGTTACTGGTGTAAGAACATGACAATTTCAGTCGTAGAAGTGTTCATTAAATGTGTTCATTAAATCTTAATTACTGATCATAAGTGGATTGAAGGAACACATGCTCGAACAATCAAATCCGGGATCGCATTCAAAAATTATAGACATATTTAACGATGTAACTGATACATCTCCTGATGTAATAAGGAATGTCCAGGGGTGACAAAAGGATTCATTAACTTCTATGTATACCCACACGCTACAATACACACCTATAATGAAGGTGCTAATAGTGGTAAAACAGTTCAGATCAATAAAGTCACATTCTTAGTAACGTGGGTACATGAAGATCCGACATTGTTTCGTGGGGGAGGATAAAGTCAGGATCTAAATTTTAAGTCTTCCAAAAAAAGAAGGGTGATATGATGGCAAGAAAAGTCAAGATTAGATTGATTTACTTAATATGAGTCTTGTTCAACATTCAACATCCGTTTTCATTCAATGTGATGATCATTCAGTGTAGTACTTGTTTTCTTTTCTCGTATGATATTTTATTCTGCATAATATACGATATTCTTGTATTCCATTGACATGAACTATGCTCAGTAAGTGATTTGTTATAACTGAATATGTGATTTTATCCTAATTATTAGTCAAACTGTGTATAAAATCAATATATAAATGAGTGTATTTTCGACTAGGGTTGTCGTCGTCGTGTTTTTGGGGTTAATAAATCATCACTTATACCAGTTTGTGTTCTTATTTCCATGTCGTGGCAATTGCAGAGGTCCCTTGTTTCGAGTATGAGTGATAAGCGTTTCCGACACAACAATCATCGACAACTAGATATAACAAGTAGCATTCAAACAACAAGACATATCAATATCAATACTGAGATTAATTAGGATTCACTTTGTGGTTATTTATAGTTTAAATGAATATATAAAGTGATAGTACATTCACAGGCGTAACTCATATCATAATTGGATAATTTAATGAGTTTAAAATTTCGACATTTTTAAACAATCAGATAGATTGAAATTCCAGTAGAAATATCATTCCAAAGACAAAGTTATCCAACCAAGAACTTTTATAAATAAAGAATAAACTCCACTGATCACTGCTTCTCACTAGGACGAAACGGTCGTCCAGTGTTTCCAGGTTTTTATTGGTGACCTAGCATACATTGACTAATGAATTTAACTATAAAATTAATAAAATCTCCACAAAGCCCCCTTCTGAAAGAATAAACTATTAAATTTTATTATTGTAATATCATCATTTAATAAGTAGTATGATTTTTCAACACTAAAAATAGATAAAGCTACGATAAATTAACTTACAAAAGTGTATACTTGTGGCTTTTTAACTTGAAGCACAATACCACCATCTGAATAAGGAAACTGGATGTCTTTTATAGACGTTTTGATAATCAACTCTGAAGGCGACTTTACTATAATGAAGAGAAAGGAAAACAGGAAAGGGATTAAAAGTAATGATCTAGGATAGATAACAGTTTAAGAACATATGGTATATAACATAACATAACAAAACGTCATGTGATTGATTAGCTTCCTCTACTAATACGTGGAACTAGAATCATCAGAATGCCAAACAATATATACCTTATTAGTATTCGACGACAAAATGTAACGAAAAATCTTAGAATACCACATACCTCGGATAGGAAATTCTCTTTCATTGAGCACTGGTAAATTGTTAAGTTCAGTGAATCGAATTACATCATTATTTTCTAAATGATGACGACGATCACCAAGAACTGTGATCAATAATTCATCATCGTTTATCTAAATAAAAAGAATATAATGAACATTTGTCTATGTTTACTTGAGTGGATTTGGGAGATCAGTTCAACGTCAGTCAATCAGCTACAACGTAGAACAATGCACGTATATGCATCGGTCCAAGTTGCCACACCTCATTAGCACAACAAATTCAGAGAAGTAGTTTATTTAGTAGTGGTAATATATAAAAGAAAGATCGCATATAAGGATATAGTACAGGAAGAAAGAATTAGTTCGTAGAAAGAAAGATATGAAGCGATTTTAATCTCTTAGTTTAAGGGAAGACAGAGAGTGTATACACCGACACCATTGTGATCGATTCTGAGCCATGTCACCAAGAGTCTCCAACCATCGGTTAGGATAGTCACAAGGACACCGACCGACTAGTCTGCATCTACCAACATGGCTCAGACTAGAAGTTAGTGTCTTCAAGAACTGATGCCACGTTTTGGTTTGGCCACCCCTAAATTTCTTTCAACCATCCGCAACACCGGTTAGCATTACGCGTCGTGGTAATCGGTGTTCAGGCATACGTAACACGTGGCCCAACCATCTCAGTCGATGAAGATCCACAACCTCATCAACTGATTTACCATCATTTCCCAATACCCTGCGTCTAACTTCACTATTACTTACTCGGTGATCCCAGCAGATGCGAGCAATATTGCTATGGTTCTGTGGTTCAATGTGAAGAGGGTGTGAATCACGGATGACATCAGATAAGAAACCAGTGAAAAACAAGGAACACTGAGCAGCTATTTCATCCTAATTCTGAGCTGTTAAAAATTGTGAACCATTGATTCTTGAAAAAATTGAGTCCAGAGCCTTCAAGTTGTGTGACAAGTTCGGCAGCCTTATATTTAAAATTTAGCGTACAAAATAACGCTCATTCTTTTTCGTTTTAGTTCGTTCATTTATGTTACTAACTTTGGTATTAAGTAGTTAAGAATAAAAATAAAAATATGCATTTGCAAGATATTAGTAAGCTTAAGATATTTAAATCTGTACCGTCTTCGTGCTCGTTTCTGTACATGTTACTCAATAGGACTGATTTCGATGAAAAAATTATACTGCCTTACCATGACCTTCATTAATTTCAATAACGTTGGTATGTCGTTCGAACGTGTAACTATTAAACTATTGGGCGGATATTCAACAGAACTGGAATTGAATGAAATAAGAAGACTAGTCAGTTAATTAAGCACATTTCCATAGTAAGTAAACGAACGACTTTTTAAGCTTCTTCACTATTTCTAATTAGGTTTCAACAAGCAAGGTGTGAAGGAACATTTTTATTATGCTTTACGTTCATGGGTAAGTCACAGAAAAATTTCTGAACATGAATCATTGTCAATGCTTGAAATACGAAAAAAAGGAACATATTACTGGAAACGAGTAATTTACAGCCCAAATAATATATAAATGCTTGGAATAATACATAGTTGTACTAACGTCTACTATTTTATTGTTACATAATTACCTTTTCAATTTTTCCAATAAAAAATTCTCTACATGGTTCATCATCTTGTGTTAAAACAGTAAAATCAGAGCCAAAATCACAAAATAAATTTCCAAATGTACCATATATATCTGTATAGATAAACTGAGAAAGAAAATAAAACAAAATTGAAGGTAACTAGAAGTAGCTTTTAAGTTGAAATTCATCGTAAACAATTCGGGTTCAGATTATAACGGTGAAAAACGTACCCTCTGATACAATGAAATAAACTAACTGACTATGATAAGTATATGACAATCAGCGAGCGTCGTCAGTCTGATAAGATCAAATCCGGCTCGCAAACTCTGGTTACAATCTGTTAACCTAGATGCTACAACTGAATCATTATTTTCGAATAGATTTGGAGAACCTATTGCCTCTCAATTATGGCCTTTTCAACTACGCTGAAAAGTATGGGTGCGATGTCAACATACCATTTAGGTTGTTGATACGTAAAAGGTAACTAGAGTAGCTAGAGGTCATTTGAACTGTTCCTCAAAGCGATCCTCTCACTATTTACGTTACCTCGTCTAGAAATTAATTAATACTTGATCTTCTTCAACGAGTTTATTGTTACCTATCATTGTCCCTATTTCCGTCTCCGAGTCCACCTGCAAGAGGTGTGTTAGTTTCAGCTTCTTTGGATCTAGTAAGAAACAGATGATTGTATATGCACAAGATTAACCCAAGTTTTATTACGGGTTCACAGGCGATCAAAACTTATTGAATGACTACACCTTGACCTCGGAAGGATGTTTCTTAGAGGTACATGAATGAGAGACTATTAGCATTGAAAGCTATGTCAACCTAGAAGGGTGACCACAGAATACTGAAGAGCAATAGCTTGTACCCTATCATTACGATATAACACTCTTTGTAGACGGTGCTAAAATGCAATGACAAACAATAAAGCTATTGGTAACTACGGAATAAACATTTAATTTTTTAAAATAAGGAATAACAGCTAACTCACTTTAATATCATATGCTCTACAGAACAGATCCAACAATGTAGCTTTTTGAAGTGAACATTGCGTAAGTATCAAACACTAGGAAAGAAATTGGTGAAACTAATTATTTCAGTAGCAAATTTACAGTTAATTTAAATCATATACACAAGGGATAAGATTCTTCTTTTATTCGAAACACATAATTATTGGTACGGACAGGCACCAAAATATTTCATACAAATAACAAACTGACACCAGCTAGAGTAGCATTGAAAACTAGGCATAAATTAGCTATTCTGTCCGAATTAGGAACTTCTTAAATTCTGCCTCAATGATTTAAACTATACAACGCTTTCTAAGGCGACTGATGGAGTACAAATTAGTCTTGACAACAGTAATGTGTATGCAATACCATCATAAAATAGAATAGCGCTAAGAAAGGCTTTTTCGTGACCAATTTTACAGTTTTTTATATAGGAAAAATAAGATAAAAAATCTTACGTCGACTTTCGTAGATGATCCTTCGTCGACTAATGGCTTTAGGATATTCTTATTAGCAGGTTCAGAAAGAGGGCAACGAATATCCGTGACATCTCCCGTTGCTAAAGTAATACGAACATAGGGATTTAAAGCCGTTAGACGATCAAGACTTGCTTCAGCTCTGAACGTTTGAAGAAGATAAACAGAAATAAAAGAAAGTAACACTGTTAATCGAAGCAGATTTCGAATCTGCAACCAAATCAAATATTTAAGCTAATGAGACAAATAAAAGGAAAAACATTTATGATTACTTGTTTTTAACTTACCAGGTGCAGATTCGTGTATTTGACTGCGAAGCACACTATGTTTGGGGGATTCATGATACTATCTGGTCGCCTAAACCAAAATAAATGAAGCGAGGGTTGAACCCGCGACTTAGTGGCCGAACCGAATGCCTTAGAAATCGAGACACTGTCCCATTCAGTGTTATTAATGACAAACTACATGAAGCACTAAACTTAAAGGCAAAAGTACTAGCTTATTTGGATGATTTAGCTGGCATGTCGTTCACTTTGGATTGGAAATATTAAAAATTGGAGGTTAAGACTTTATTTGCCACATCTGTTTTTCTGATTTTATGTTTAACTGAACAAATAATTGACATTTCTTTACGTTTTGCCTTCACTTCATTTTGTGATTTGGATCCAGAGTTTGATCATACACTTGGCTTAACATTTAATATTGATTCCGAAGATAGGTTGATTGACATATGAATACAAAAACATTATTCTCGCTCAACCTCATAAAACTGTGTACCTCACGCAAAAAATTGGGAACTGGTTCTTTTATATTTCTTAAGAAAATAACTGTCAGGTAATTTATTTCATTAGAGATGTATGAATGACAGTCAAGCCTCTCACAAAGTTTTATAGGCGAAATTTGTTATGGGTATGTGGCTTCTGGAATGTCGTTCAATAATGTTATATTGTAGACCCATATACGAACTAATACACAACAAACGTAACTTATTTCAATCGCTATCGAAAGTATTAGGTGAGCAGGTTTAAGAGTATCCTATGTTGGTGGACTCAAGTGTCATGAGTTTAACCGTGAATTTTCGATAATAAATAAAACCAAGAAAAATTAAAACGATCAGTCAAAATTTTACCTAGTTTTCGAACCTTTAACACTATATTCATCCACGTAAAATTGAGTCCCTAAATCCTGTTTGGAACATGAAGATCGATCCTGAATTATAATTTCGCCAACTCCAGCCAGAACTAGATTTTTCGCTATTTGCGAAGCAATTACTAATAAAATAATATACCTATTTCTATTCCAACACCTCCCAAGCCATGTAAAAACACTTTAGATTTACACATTCTTTTCATTGCATTTTCCCCCAGAACACATCTTTGACGGCTGCAGAATAAATATGATTCTACAGGAGATCAAACCTGTATAAAGAGTCATCGATATCACAAGACATGTTATGCAACGCACACACAAAATTAGCCGCCAAGGTCAGTAGGACGTATGGTTCTAATGGTTATGTGAAGAATGAAGCTTTCCTTTAGCTTGCTCCCGTATGTAGTAAAAGGATGGTTTCAAGTACAGAACTAAGTTTATTGGTTGATGAACACATAAATATCCTTTACTAGTTCATTCATTAGACCTTACGAAAAATAGCGTGAATTTATCCGCAACGCAACCACGTAAACTTAATGTATCGCACAGGGTCATGTGCGCGTTCAAGCAACCACAGATTTTGTCATTTCATAATGTATTTTTAATCAAATAACTAGATTATGTTGTTAATTTTGCTGTTGCTGTCATACATTATAAGATAGCGATAAGTATGTTTGTTGTTTATTTCTAGACTGTACATCTATCACTGACCATATTTCATGATCACTGTGATCAAACAATTTCCCCAGCAATAACATCGGTAGCAAGACAGCTAAGTGTCTGAGCTTTTAGTTGCCCGCAAAACAGCAGTATTCAGTCGTAGAAGATGAGTGTTCTGTGTCTCAATTAAATGTAGCTGACTGTTGACAAATGTTAAGAATCTTTTTGACAACTGGGACTTTTAGTTTATCAGACACTAACTCTGCTTGTATGTCTTCCTGTTAAACTAGGGAATACTTAAATGGCAGCAAAATAATAAAAGCATTGCAATACGGTTCTAAGCACATGTTATGCTTTGCACAAGTAATAGTAGCTGATCTTATCTAATATTCATGAACTCAAGGTAAATCACAACTGCATAAATTCTGTGCTAAAAAACATGTAATTTGATTATTTATCTATTCCACATTTCTGACTAAATTCATCACTATTTTTTCATTTAAAATGCAACAGGAGTGAGCCTTCACAGATCCTAAACACTGTTTCGCCCTTTCAACTGTGGCCCTATGGCACTGCTTACGAAAGACCCAACCAGCAGCAGATTATAAAAAGGGTGCTGGACGTCCATTTTAGTCTCGCAACCACTTCCAGTATTTTTTTGACTTCTTTTACTGTTTCGTTTGGAAAAAAACAACAAAAACTGCGGCTCAACATTACCAATACAACTTTTAAACGGGAACTTGGTTTACACCTTTGTTTGATATTCGAAGAAAGCCGACCGCTATTGTTTACATAGATGGCGGATATAATAATTCCCGCCCCATTCTGATTGGTTGCTAAGCTGAAGGGCACATTTACGAAATTGATTTGCGTTTAATTGCAGCCGAAAAATAGCTTACTTTCAAAGCGTTCATGCTTGAGTAACTTACTTATTGCGAGAGAGGATTGAAAAGCAGCCCTAGATAATGGTCTGTCTGTCAATGTGACATTCATAGATTTCAGCAAAGCATTTGACAAGATTTCATACTTATATCTTATGCACGAACTCTCGACCCTCAGAATAATAGGTGATGTACATAAATGGATAAGAAACTTCTTATGTGATCGCAGACAGAGAGTGAAGGTCAATGGAACGCTATCCGACTGGAAGCCAGTAAAAAGTAGTGTACCCCAAAGCTTTATCTTAGGCTCTCTACTTTTCCTTTTCCACGTTAATGCGTTACCACTTTTGCTAAAATAGTCAACATTATTCTTTGAGGATGGTGTACAAATCTGGAGAACAATAAGAAGTGAGGCCGCATATTTTGATCTCTTAGCTGATTTAGATTGTAGTGACCTAGTTTTATGAACAGAACGCAATTGGTATAATGGAAAAAATTATTATTATAACCAACTATACCAGTGGTTGTTTTACTGTACTCGTTTGTTTAAGTGTACTCAAGACATACATTCTTCCGTTGACTGTGATCTTGCATGCACTCGCGTATGCTCAGTAGTTCCGTTTGTAAACTTTGATCTCGGTATTATTTCGATACCACGAGATCGCTGACAAATATATCTTATTACAACCGCCAACTGCCTTCTGGTTTTGGCATACGAAGGAATGAAACCTAATATCCGGCACGTAATCTTCTGTAGTGGTGATCATAGTCAATCGACGCCTACTGTAAGTTATATGGGCTCGAAGTTGGGGTTGAAATTTAATTCTAGAAAGACTGTGCTCATGCTCATAGGACTCGGTAATAGGTATCATTAAACTATTGATAGAACACTTCCTCGCGTTGAAGAACACAGAGTTATAACTTGAAAACAACTACGCATTGCAACGCAGCTGCTGTCAAAGCTTTTGCAAACCAATGTGCCTTCAACAAACTAGTCATAGGCGGAACTATATTACCACATGGATTTCACCGGACCACACTACAAAGAACCTGATCGACCATATCTGCATCAACGAAAAGTTCAGTAGGACAATGGAAGACGTGAGAACCAAGAAATGAGCTGATATAGCATCAGATCACCACTTGCTGATCGCCAAGATGAAATTGAAACTCAGGGAACATTGGACAACGGGGCTGAAAACATCGCAAGAATTTAATACGGCCTTTCTTTGACATACTGACAAACACAACGAATTCAAGAAAGGGATCATGGAAGCAATCGCTTCAACATGTTATGAGGTTCTGGGCCACAATAAGCAACACCACAATGAATGGATCACTGATGATACACTGAATAAGATTCAAGAGAGGAGGAACAAGAAGGCAGCAATCGGTATCAGCCTAACAAAAGCAGGGAAAACCAAGGCACAAGCTGAATACACAGAAGCGAACAAGCAGGTAGAGAGCAGCAGAGAGTCGATAGACGTAAATATGTGGAAGGACCAGGAACGACGGCGGAAAAGGCCGCAATCGAGGGAAACATGAGACAGTTGTTCGATACAACAAAGAAACTCGCTGGAAATTACCAGAACGACCAGTGGAAAGGCAAGTAACCAACACTAGAGAACAACGAAACAGGTGAGCGGAGCACTTTAAGGGACTCTTGGATCGGCCAGCCTCACTGAGCCCACCCAACATACAAGGAACACCTACAGACACCTCAATCGACGTTGGCCCATCAACAATTAAAGATATCAGCACATCTAGTCCTTTACACACATTATGCAGGTAGGGTCGACCAACTATTCAATATACAATTGTCGTGTGAGTTATACCTATGACAGTCATTTCTCTCTTGGATAGCTCAGTTGTCACCTCTCTGATTGCGGTCTAGGGTCCCAACGTTAGAAATCACTCGTCATTTTTAAACCACTGATATTATTGACAAGTGGTTTCCAAGACAAAAGTTCCAGTTAGTTATTTTCAGTATCTCAATTACACAACTGTGGTATTTGAATGAACTAATAAATCCTGTATACTTATTGAATGCTTGATTTCGAATTCCGAATACAGTACACTTGTTAGTGCTTATCTAGTACTTCTTGATTCGATTACGTTATTTCTGAGATTCTTAGTTTATACTATAATTCAAATACTCCTAATCATCATAACAACTTGTACATCACTCCAACTCAATGCTTGAGGGCACTTAGCCATGTTGGTAGATACACATAACCTGGTTGGGGGTCCGCACGATATAAATAGTAGTTAGATACGTTGATTAACATGACTTAATGATTGTTATCTTGTTGCGATATGTTGTGACAACTTAAACCAATTAACAAATGTGCTACGTCCTCTGTCGCATATGACTGACTAACTAATTAGATAGATAGGTAACTCAAATTCTCACTTTTATAAACTTCCAACTGAGACACAAGGAAGTCATATGAAAGACAAGTATGTCCATCACTCTGGAAGAACTATAAAAAATATGGTATAGATAAATAGACCTTATGTTAGAAGGGATACGTTACGTTGCAATGTTAAACTCACCAACTCTTCCATCGATATTGCATCATTTTTATGATTATCGAATGCTAATTATTAAGCTAAGATATGACGGATCAAGAAGTCGATTAATACCACAGATTAAATAGCATGATGTCAGTCATCCTCCCACCGTACTTGAAGTTGTTCCCAACCTGAATAAATAAATCATAACATTTCTAATTGTGATTTAACTCTATCACCAAGTACAGATTCGCGTACTTTCCTATAAGTCATATTTACATGTGTGTGCGGGGGGATTGTGATGCTACCCGACTGCCCAAACAGACGCAAATAGTTCAGAACCTAAACATTTTTGACCTAAAAGTGCCAACGGGTGACGCAAGTTCGCACCCTTTACATAACATCATATTCATAAGTTTTGGAAATAAACATGGTTGACGAATACCAGTCAGTAGACACTCCATGTTTAAAGGTTCTGTTCAATTTACTACACTAACCATCTAACAATACGAAATTTACAAAAATGTAAAGCAGAGCAGATCTCATGTCTCATAAAACATATCCAAAAAGTTCAAGTTTAAAAAGGTTACTTTAACACATTAAAAACAAATTCAATTAAATCACTAGTATACAAAATGAAATAATAGCAAGATATTACTGTTAATTTATTTTGGTTTATTGGTAGTATGATGAAATAACTAATAAAATGCTAAATATGATTAGATAAAGAGTGTAGAGAGAGATAATGTGAACAAAAACAATAAAAATCATAGGAATGAAAACAAAATGTATATAGATATTACTTGAGATTTCTAATCACTTGTAAGTAGTAGTACTAGTAATTACTGAAATAGAGAATACGAAGTGAAGCAATAAAGGACAGATAGGGAAAGTTTACAAACAATATGTAGGAATGAAGTGGTACAAAGCATAATCATGAATAGATGGAATGATTAGGCAGAATAATCGACAAAACAATAGCTTACAATAACAATTAATATAACCATTAATTTGAGATGGGAAAATAAAGTACACAAGAACATATTTATGTTGAAAGAATCAAAGAATAATTGAATAATAAACACGGGATCGAACATAGAAATGCACAAATGAATTCTTACCATTATGTTCATCATTCTTTATACAATTGTATACCTATCACTATATTGAATGATGAACATACAAATATACGTTTACATATGTGTAGTAAGCAAATTTAAGGGTGGTTTGTAGACTAAAGATCTTTATTAGATGAGAAAAAAAAGATAAGCATTTGAATTGAACGGAAACTATGCATAGTTGGTTATTATGCCAAATTTTGTATTTGTATATGGGTCTATATAAATAAATATATATATATTTATATGTATATATATATATATGATTGAATTCCTCGCAATGTTGAATAAACAAAACAGTTATAATCATTCATTTAAGCAAACAGTAGTATAGAAGTTGATTTGTTGAAATGAAGATAAAAAGCTGATGAATTTGAAAAATACAAACAAAGAAAATTGTCTGTTTAACATCTTGTTTCATATAAACCACTTTTACCAATATAGCGAACCCATTTCACTACATCATGATCTGAATAATTCAATTTGGACTCGAACACCTTTAAGAAACGAACTTTAAATCCAGACGGTGCAAATGGTACCTAATATCATTATAATCACCATCAACATTGAAAATAGCATGTTGTTTTTTAAGGGAGGGGGGTGAGGTGAGCATGAAAGTATATATAATTAATGAGTATCAATCGTTTTCAAAATTAATAAGAATTTATTAAAAAAATCAATAAAATCAACAAGTAAATAATTGTTGCTATTTGACATCATACAATCAATTTGACTTGTAGCAAATAGTTGTTATCACACACCTTTGGGTAAATAAATCATTCTATTTATCTTATATCATCTATATATGTGGGACAATGCCAATTATTCATGTGTAACATGAAGTATGCCCCCCAAAATCCCGTGCTACGGCCGAGAGTGGGGAGAGTCAGTCCGCCCTCTCGAAATGCTCTTACATGACCATGCGTATACAGCCACTGACAGAGAATTCCTAATCACTGCCTTTTCGTAGCATTACTGTTGTTTACAAAATTGAAAGGATGAAAGTCGAATGTCCGGCGCTTTAATCCGGTTGGTGGATATGGAGGATCCACCTAGGGGAGTTGGAAAACTCTCATTCCAAACCAATGGTGTACATGAGCTCCAGGATCCTAAGGAAACAAATGGCGTATGAACCTATTGTCGGTTGCTGGTTACCATGGGACAGCATCTCCTGACATTGCTCCAGTACCTCGTTGGCCAGACCTATAGGTCGAAGGCTCCGGGTGTGGTCTCCTGAGAAAACTATCTGCTTCGGTTTTGGCACCCGGGTAGTATCACAGCCCTCACACAATTCAAATGAATGAGTTATGTGGCACATATCTATTTCGTGCCTTCTTGTACTAATGTTTGTGTTTAAAGAATAATAATGGTTTATACATGAGTGTATACTTGAACATGTGTTTGTATACTTTACGCATTTGCATCTCTTTGATGGTTAGAAAAATTGAGTTACTTATTACTCACTGAGTTCGTTATTTCTGCCACTCCAGTCCACGTAAATTTCTTCTCATTTCTTATCATTCGTCTGTATGAATGAATGTCTGACATATATATTTTTTAAATACTTTCATATTCGAATTCTGATATGCATGTTGTTATTAACGGGATGCACCGACAGAATATATACGAAGTAAATAAGATATACATTTCATTAACATTAATATAATTCCATAATTACGAACTCAGATTGCGGGTGTAGAGACTTACAGACGAGTAGAACGTTTTTAATCGCTTAACCCTAGATAATCGTAATGCATACATGGATGATGACTACGATGATAATGATCCCAAATTTATTAGATATGACTAATTTATTTGCGAAGGTACAGGTTTAAATACTCACACTTTAGTTATATGGGGCCTAGTGATATTATCCCACTACGTGAATTCTATGGGGTAACGACGGGGAGAGCTGCCAAGTTAATTTATTTATTAGTTTGAACACATAAATATTGGTACAAAGAGGCGCCACACAAGTCACTTGATTTGTGTGTGGGTTATGATATTGCCCGGGTGTCCAAACCGAAGCAGGTGGTATTCTTAGGAAGCCACCCCGAGCTTTTGACCTAAAGGTTTGATCGACAAGGCAGTGGGGCAACATAAGGAGATGCAGCCCCATGGTAATCGGTGACCATTAATTGGTTCATACACCATTTGTTCCCTCGGGATTCTGGAGCCCATGCGCACCATTATTTCGGAATTGGGGTTTTCCACTTCCCCTTATTTATTTATTTATTTCAACACATGGATATTGGTACAAGAGAGCGCCAATATATATGCGCCACACCCACTACCCCTAGGTGGATCCTGACTGAAAACCGAATGTTTAAACAAATAAGTCACTATTCCACATCATCATTTATTAAGCCTATCTACTAATGCTACTATGTTTTTTTTAGTTTCCAACGATTGTTGTCGATCACTCATAATCGGCTTGGGACCAATGTGTTTTAGTCCAATTTCCTACACTGTACCGGCACGACAAGGTAAGATCTGCGGGACAACAACAGACATTACAACCAAAGGCAGATGGCGGCTAGTAGTGGAATTCAGGATGCACGTTTCATCCTATTTGGGAATCATCAGCTGGATGTAACTGAATAACAAGAGTCAAAATAATCGTAGTAGCAATTATGAATGAGTAAAGCTAAACATTGAGAATATGGCTACAGAAGACTGAGTGAAAAAATATATGGAGATACTGGATCTCGAGGAAGACAAATAAACGGTGAATGCATCGATGATACTGTGGCTGACTCTAAACAATGTCACTTCTTGTTGTGATAATAAGTACTGAACGATCAGATCTATACGAAACGGCGCTTAAAAAAGTTACTATACATAAGGATTATAATAATAGTAACATGAAAAATGATAAACGAACCTCGAAATTCATAGAGATCGGTGGACGCATCCAACGTTTTTGTTTATCTGAAGCTTGTAACAATTCAATTTCCGCAGATAATTGACAATCTTTCATACCAGATATTCGTCTAATCCTAAAAAATATAAACATATAGTAGAAGTTATAACTCGTTACTACTACTCCTTCCCCATCCTACTAGGAACATGACATTTAAATGAGTTTGCCAAAGAAATTCATTCAAAGTTCGATCATTATGGACATTGACTAATCGTATGAGACCTCAAGTTATCCAAATGAGGTAACTGCAACTAATCATTAAATTTACATGCAACATTTCCCTTTTTATCAAGTTATACCAGAATTCTTTATATGTTGAATCTAATGAAGTTACTTGATATGAACATTACAGATATTTTTCAAACAGAATACACGAGATGGGAGAATAAAAAAATATCAATAATATCCAAGACAGAAATTAAAGAACATAAAGAATGAAGGCAACTGAGGTTAACTGTGATTAGGTGAGATTTTGGAAGCTGATCTGATGGAAGCAAGTAATTGTAGTGTGGATTTATTACTTGGAGAAAGGCTTTTCGATTCTGTGTGCGCAGAAGATAGTCTTACTGTGTGACGTAGTCACACCACATAATCCTCACTTATTCAGTTGACAATCAATATCCGTAGTTCTGGCATGTGCTTCGCACTCGCAGGACCTTGATCCTGTACTCACTCTGGGTAGTCAACAGTTAGAAGTAGTGGAGAATTTCGTGTCAATCGGTAGCTGAGTAATTGCTGGCTGTTGAGTTAGGGATGAGATCAATTCACGTATAGTCAAAACCAGAGGGGCTTATACCAATCTGGACCATTTTCACTGCCTTCGTAATGTTAGTCAGGCTGTAAAAGGTCGGATCTACAATGCATCCGCAAGAGCAGTCTTGCTCTATGCTTTCGAAACCTAGTCTCTCTGAGTTGAGAATTTTAAGCTTTCTGAGTTTGATCCTTGTTTTTGAAGGATTGCTTCCATCCAGTTGCAACACCATGTTAGTAACGCAGAGGTTCCGAAATACGTGTTCGGGTAGGTTAACGACAATTCAGTTGGTGTTACTATCTTACAACACCAGCTTTAGGTGCTTCAACATGTTATATCAATGTCTTCCCAGATACTTCCAAATGGACGATAAGACTGGTTACAAAAATTAAAGAAATGATCAATTCATTGCACAGCAATGAGGGAAAGAATAATGCTGTATAGGATAGTCGTCTATCGGTTCATCACAATTCGCTGGTCCGGGCCCTCAAAGACAGAGCAACTCAAAAGTTTGAAACGTTATCAGACATCAGTCAGAATCGAAGTCAATGACGATCCTATCATAATTTCCGCTTACATTTTTCATAATAGTGAAAGGAACTCCTTTAACTGGAACGATTCTTTCTAGTTGTATCTTTGTAAACTAAACTCCATTTCTCAGTACATTATTCTACTGTCGTTACTTTATTTTCACTCATTTAATTACCCTTTTTACCATATTTACTCTACTTCCTTTATATCTTCACAATTTCATTCACTTATTCATGTGGCGCGTATTTATTCTGACATCGATTTATTGAAGTGGTGAAACTTCATCAGTTGAAATGGCTGGGGCACGTGTTACGTATGCCCAACAACCGACTGCCCCGACGTGCGATGTTTTACGGTGTAGGAGCAGGTTGGAAGGAAGCTAGGGGCGGCCAAACCAAAACATGGCACAAGTCCATGAAGTCACTGACAAGTGGATTGAGCCATGTTGGTAGGTGTAGACTACCTGGTTGGGGACCACAAGATGACAGCAACCGATGGTTAGAGACCTTGAATGACATGGCTCAAAGCCGTTTGCAATGGTGCAGGTGCATCCACTCTTTGTGCTCTCCCAAATCCTAATCTTCTGAATTCTTCATGTCCCTTTACTTGTTCCCTTTCCAAATTTATTTCATTGTATTATACTCCTTGAATAACATCTTCAAACCCTAATTTGAATCGACAACTGCATCTCTGTGCTAATGTGGTGCGGCAACTCGAACTGATGTACGTACGTACGAAGTTCTACGTTGTTACTGACTGACATGCTAATATATATGTGTTCAAATAAATAAATCTAAATAATCATTTCACCGAATGTCAACCAATATCTTCAACTGTTAATTACGGCTACTGAGCAGTCCCTAACTAAAGAGTTTGGACATATTGACATGGAGGACTTAATGCAACAACAATGAACAACATCATGTATTCGGGCTTTAAGATATATCTTTGATGTGATGTTAATTGATAATAACCTACTTTCTTTAAAACAAAAAAAACACATTCAATGTAACTTATTCACTAAATACAAGTTTATGTACTCGATTTTGAGCTCCACTATTTGAGTGAGGACCAGTAGTGTTATTGCTTGAGAGTTTAAATTAAGAAATCTATTAAATATTTGGTTTATAGTATTTTTATACTACTCTTATATAAGCCTTCATCCCATTAGTTAGCTGTTGATAGATATACTTTCTATTATATGTTTTAAATTATCGTAAATTAATTATAGACTTATAACTCAGTTGTGTATCACATGTAACCCAGTTATGTATATATTGTAATTTCTTATTCGCAGTGGCATTATGATTATGTAACTCATGTATGCAAGCCTATTAGTTTTTCCAAGTCATGATGACAACACAATAATAAAAGGTGAATCGTCTGGTTTTGTTCTCATTGGACACTGGAGATAAGCATTTATTTTATTTATTTATTTGAACACAAATATTGGTAAAAAGAAGCCCCGAATAAATATGTGCCACACAAGTCACCTGATTTGTGTGTGGGGTATGGTACTGCCGGGTGATTAAACCAAAGTAGATAGTTTTGTTGGGGACCACGCCCGGAGCCTTCGACATCAAGATCTGATCCACAAGGTAGTGAAGCAACGTTAGGAGATGCAGTCCCATGGTATCCGGTGACCAATAATTGGTTCATACGTCATTTGTTCCCTCAGGATTTTAGAGCCCATGCTCACCATTGGTTCGGGATCGGGGTTTTCCAATTCCCCTAGGTGGATCTTCCATATCCACCGAACCGGTTAAAGAGCCGGACATTCGCTTTTCATCCTCTCAATTTCGTAAAAACCGGTAATGCGATGAGAAGGCAGTGATTAGGAGTTCCCTGTCAGTGACTGTATACGCATGGTCATGTAAGAGCATTTCGAGAGGGGGACTGAAACTCCCTACTTTCGGTCGTAACCAGAACATTTGGAGGGCACAGATAAACAGAGTAACATGGATCAACCAATAAGCAAAAGAATCCCGATCATTTGTCTTATTGTTTAAATAGGTCATTAGTCTAATTGATATAAAGAGAATTAGCGATAAACAACTTTCATAACCAAGTTCTTTTAAATATGACTAAATAAACAAACATAAAATTCATAACAATAAATAATATTACTACTGAATCAAGTATTAAAACATTCAACAACAACAACAACAAAAGAATAAATAAACTCACTTCCAAATAATAGCATTTTCAGCTGCTTTATATTTTGCTCTACCTTTCATACATACAACTTGTACACCACTTGTATTCATTGGAGTCGGTATATGAACTTCAATTTTTTGTGCAAATAAATTAGGACGAAAATTAGCTTTTAAAATTACTTTAACATCCATTTTAGTTTTACCAAGTTCACGAACTAATGGTATGACACGAAATGGTAAACTGATCTCCTAAAATAATGTTAGATTATTATTTTTGAATAGTAAAGTAATCAAAACAAACAATAGATTATAGTTTTTATTCAAATTCTTATTTAGCATTATTTACTCTCGAAGTAAACAAAAAGAAACACCTACATCTCAATAAATGTAGGTCTGTACAATAAAATTTATGAACTGATGTTATATCATGTTATCTTATCCTTCTTAAGAATACTCCTCATTTTGATAGAGTTTTGTTCTTTGAGCCGGATGATTTTGGTTGCGAAGCTTTCATTGTTGTTCTGAAAGACATCATCATCAGCAGCCCAAACTCCAGACCCCAAATGCCCTGGTACGGCCGAGAGCGGGAAGAGTACGCTCTCCCTCTCGAAATGCTCTCACATGGCCACGCATATATAACCTCTGCCAGGGAAGTCCTACTCACTAACTTCTCGTGGCGGCGGTGTTGTTCACAAAATTGAGAGGAAGAAAAGCGAATGTCTGGAGCTCTAACCGGGTTGGTGGACACGGAGACTCCACCTAGGGGAGTTGGAAAACCCTCATTCCAAACCAATGCTCCACATGGGCTCCAGTATCCTGAAGTTACAAATGGCATATGAACCTATTGTTGGTCACCAGTTACCATGGGACTACATCTGACGTCGTTCCACTGCCTTATGAATCAGACCTTTAGGTCGAGAGCTTCGGGTGTGGCTCCCTAAGAAAACCACCTGCTTCGGTTTTGGCACAAATTTAATGAGATTTGTGTGACGCATATGTATCTGGTGCCCCCTTGCACCAATACCTATGTGTTCAAATAAATAAATAATAATAATAAATAGCACAAACTCCAAGTAGAAGTGAAGTGTTCGAGCCATATATAGAGAAGTTTGAATACTTCACTTCTACTTGAATTTTGTGTTGATGGTGATATCGTTCAGAAGAACAATGAAAGCTTCACGACCAAACCATCCAGCTTATATAACAAAACTCGATCAACATCATCCATGTGAGCTACAAATCTTCTCCACAATCACAATACTCTTCATCTTTTTAATCATACACTTGTTCCATAATCATTTTTATTGTTTAAAACATTTCTGAAAATTATCATCAATTAGACTCTTAAAGTTGCATTTACGTTTTATGTTTTATTATCTATCTATTTGAACACTTAAATATTAGCATAAATCGATATCAGAATAAATAAGCGCTAAATGAATAAGTCAATGAAATTGTGAAGAGATAAAAGAAGTAGAGTGAATATGGTAAAAAGAAAAAGTAATTAAATGAGTGAAAATAACTTAACGACAGTAGAATGTACTGAGAAATGGAGTTTGGTATACAAAGATACAACTAGAAAGAATCGTTTCAGTTAAAGGAGTTCCTCTCACTTATATGAGGAATGTAGGAGAAAATTATGGTAGAAGTAGGTCCAAAAATAATCGTCCTGATAAGTCTTCTAGGTGAACACTCGGATAGGTTTCCTAAGCTCTTCTGATAACTCCAAGGTTAGTTTTATGTAAAGAAAATAGAGGGTACTTATAGAATTTCAGACAGTCATGGACTTCCGAAGGTTTCTAGAAGCATACGACAAGAACCAGGGAATTGTGATGGACCGACAGATGACAGTCTTATACCGTTTTCATACCACGACACGATTTATTCATCTACGTACTTGTATATAAGATTTTAGAATAAAAGTAAATTCCAGGGCTACAAACCACCAGGCTCAGATGCCCTACCTTCGGCCCATTTTAAAAATGATGGCGAACTTCTGGTTGAGGAACTGACTGAGTTGTTTACAAAGGTCTGCAAATTGGAGGGTCTTCCAACATCATGGAATGAGTCGATAGTCTTCCCTATCTTTAAAAAAGGATAACGTCGTTTCTGTAACAACTATCGGGGGATGAATACACTTCCAATTGCGTCCAAGCTATTAGCTTCCGTCATACTTCGTAGGTTGTTCAAAACCCGAGAAAGATTGACTCACTAAGAACAGGCTGGTTCTCGTTCTAGTCTAGGGTGTATCAATCATATATTCATCCTCTGATAAATTTTAGAACACCGTCATACTTATTACAGGCCAACAATCGTAGTGTTACTTGAAATTAGGGCTGCATTCCATTTGTTAGATAGGATTGTTCTCTGGGGTTGTCTATTGAAGAAGGGTGTGTCTGAGAAGTTTATTAACATCCTAAAAGCCCTGTATAAAAACACCTCAGGCAGAGTGAGGGCATACAACTACCTCTCTCCATTGTTCCATTCGAGCAGTGGAGTTAGACAGGGTTGCCCAATCTCACCATTCCTCTTCAACTTTGCCATCGACGACATTCTGGAAACAGCTCTGATAGATGTAAGTAATGGCGGTGTAGATCTGCTGCCTGGAGAAAGACTTCTCGACCTTGAGTATGCGGATGATCTTGTCTTAGTGTGCGATAATGCCCAAGGCATGCAATCCGCACTTAATCAGGTGGTAATTAATATCCGTAGGTATGGCACGTACTTTTCACCTTCGAAGTGCAAATTGCTTTCACAATACTGGCAGGACCTTAATCCTGCACTCATTCTGGGTAGACAACAGTTAGAATTAGTAGAGAATTTCGAATATATGGGTAGCTGAGTAATTGATGGTGATTAAGTGAGAGATGAGATCAACTCACGTATAGTCAAAACCAGAGGTTTATGCCAATGTGGACCGTCGTCGGCGTCTTCATGTTAGTCTACTTGCAAAAGGTCGAATCTACAACGCGTCGGTGAGAGAAGTTTTGCTATGTTTGTGAAACCTGGTCTCTCCGAGTTGAAGATGTGAGACTACTCTGTATTTGATTATCTCAGAACGATTGCTGACATCTAGTGGCAACAATATGTTAGTAATGCAGAGAGGTGGTCAGTGTATGACGTGGTGTCGTAGTTATGAAAACATCACAGCAGATGGTTAGAATGCTAGAGAACGGAGATGAAAAGTGTTAAGACTGTAAGATAGTATAATCCGAACACTGATTGAATTACAAACGATTTATCTAACCATTATTTGACTTATTTGAATCGTTTTATTAAATGTTTATTTTTTTTATCGAAAGTTCAGTCTATTCACGTTTCCAATATCGTTCTCATTTGAAGTACACGAACTCAGTACTAATTTATTGCTGAATGAAACCGAAGTGATGTACCAGTTTGACATAGGTAATCTTAATTTCATGTAACTTGATCTCTTGATAAATTTGAATAAAGCAAGGACAACAAAACAAATGCTTCCTTTTATTTATGGGCTTCTCATCAGCTGAAAACACCTCTAAAGTTACAAAGAGTAATGTGATTAGAAACAAGGATTTAACATTACTTAGCGAATTTGAACTGGGTGTTTGAAATGGAGGCAAGAGACACTTTAATAAACATGACTAATGATTATTAACGTGTTGAAGGACACCTACAAAATTACAACTAGTTATATGAAACAAGTGGGGGATAACCAACAAAAGCTTCTGCCAGGTTTCTGAACATGTTCCAGGGAACCTGTTTGAAAGATAGTAAGGTTTACATATAAACAATCAGTAGGTGGTGAACAGAGCGTCGATATTTCTAAACGTAACTTATATGCACAGAAGGAAAATGTGATGTTTCTCTTTTTCATGATAAATATAACCAAATAATTCTGTGATACATAATCTTGACTTTATAAAATCATTTGATCCTGACTTCATCTATGATGATTGATTACAATAGTCACTTATTCTATTGTGGTTATGTAATCCTGTTATTATCATTATCATGGTTAGTAGCTTCACCTCACTTTATATGAATAGTTGTGTTTTTGTGGATTTTCTTCAACACAAAAATACACAACAATGATAACTACGTTTATTCCCATTTATTGTGTCTTCTTCTACTGATTAGGATTTTCACCTCCATTTCAAATGTCCATTTCGAATTCGCTAAATAAAGTATTTTAAATCCTTGTTTCTAATTAGATTACTCTTCGTAACTTTGGTCAGTCAGTCAGTGACAACGTAGAACTTCGTACGTACGTACATCAGTTCGAGTTGCCACACCACATTAGCACACAGATGTAGTGGTCGATTCAAATCCCGTAATGGTAGAGGTAATTGCAGCTGATGAGAAACCTAGAAATAAGACAAAGAATTCATTTTATTCTGCGAATGTTGATTTCTATGCACATAGAAACCAACTTGTATCCAAAATTGTATTACGAATGTTGATTTACTTCATTTATTCAGATGGTTTTAAGTTAAGATAATTCAAAGTGAGAATAAACTAGGTAAATAAGCTCTGTGAATAAAACATTATCATACTAAGCACTGAACATTATGCTTAACAATAGGATGTTAACGATGTAGCAACTTTATCTGATTAAAAAACTTGAATTTCAACCAGCAGGTTGTAGGTTCGCAATCCATAACATCTAATTCGGTATTTCAAACTGACTAATAATATAATTACATTTCATATTTAAGGTGTCGCTCAGACCAGAATACGTAAACGCACATACGATAAATGATTTACATCATGTTAATTAGTTACCTTAGTAGTTCTATAACGCATCAACTCGAATTCACCGTCTGGTGGAATAAAAGAGATTGTATGTTCAGTTTCGAATCGACCCAGTTTAACACATTGATGAAATTGACAGTCATCTATTGCAATACCTCCACTACTGAAATGAATTAGAGAGAACACAGTAGATAAATAGAAAAATCAAAGTGAATTCGATTATGAGGAATAAATTAATGGTCATCAGTGTAATTTTAGGAAGAAAGTAAATGCATAAGAGGGCTGTTCTAGTCACGAATCAGTTTCTGAATAAATTGATAACATGTCCCTTTTTTTCTCTTTCCAAATTTATTTCACTGGATTATACTCCTGGATTATACATCTTCAAACCCTAATGTTTCCGATTACTGCTTATACTTTTACTACCTCTACTGCAATGGGATTTGAATCGACCACTGCATCTCTGTGCTAATGTGGTGTGGCAACTCGAACTGATGTACGTACGTACGTACGAAGTTCTACGTTGTTACTGACTGACTGACTGATAATATGGGTCCTAGAATACATGATTTTGGTAGCACTTTCTTGGCAGGCTCAATTTCATTCACGAACGAACAACGGAAAAAGTTATCAAGTTGGTTAATAGTCGCTTCATGTTATTAGTTCTTTATAATGCAAAAATTTGTTGAGGTTTTGTAATGGAGTTATGTGAAAAATTTAGAATAAGATGAGGATTCGATAAATGGTAACATTTTGGATCTAGAATTTGAAATACTAATTCCAAGATCGAGAATATTTGTAGCTTAGGTGGATGACTTTGATGGTTTCATCATCTGAGCTGGATGGTTTAATCGTGAAGCCTTCATTGTTCCTCTGAACAAAATCGTCGGCAGACTACGGTTTGAAATGACATGTTCTAATTTCTCTACATATAATCGACAGCTTTTCCTGTAGACCTTGATCTTGATTGTTTACTGACAACCTTTAACTTGTCGTTGTCGGGATATTTATTTTGAGTATTGCTCCATTTATCCTGACTTTAAACCCTATGTTTGTTCATAATTTGACTGGTTGATAAATAAGATTGATTGCAGTATGTTTAGTGATTGCTGATTAACCTTTGTATCACACTTCTAAAGACCTTCTAGCATTCTCAATATTCCCTATATTAAGGATATTAACATTTTAGGGTTCAATTACTTACGAGTGGCAGTGTGGTAGGCATTTCGTGGCCCTGCATCTGATTCCAGTTGGGTTGTGTGTTAATTGTCATCAAAATATACATATCGGCTATCCTCTTATGTTTTATTAACTTGAATCGCGTCAGTAAACAACGAAATTAAGTTAGTTGAATACGAGAATGGAGTTTGAATACGTATATTTTCGTACAAACGTTGGTCGGAACAATCAGAGAAACGCAGTGAAGCGAAACGGATTGAAGAAGGCAAGTAAGCCAACTCGGTGAGACTATAATTTATGGATGACCTTTGAGCGACATTGAAGTGACCCTGAGAATGGACACCTACTGATTAAGACTAAATGAGGGTTATAAACCAGTTTGAATCATGATTTATAGTTGGTGGTTAGAGTTAAAAATCAGATTTAGGGTTTTCATCACGAACTGACATTAGCTATAATGACAAAACAAATTTAGCCACATGTATGAATGAGTTTCATGCCAAAATCTAAGATTCGTTATCTTATATCTGATTAGTTCGTTCACAAATTATAGTCTTGCTGCCAACTCAGTTTAATCAAACGTTACTTGACACTTATAGTCAGACCTAAAATAAGTTACAGGTATATGATGAATAGGACAACCTATAGATCATATAAAAAGTCAGGGTTAATAAACTAATAAGTGACAAGGTCAAAATGTGGTTTAGGAAGAATGAATAGATTCGTCTGTCTAGGAACTAGAACAGCCCATGTATGCAGTAGAGTACTGGTGAGCGATAACCGACCGAATCTACTACCTTGACGCGGTGGTCGGGCTTGCCTATCGTGATGACCCAACCGAGCTATATTGGCTGGAACATATGTTCCTGTAGGTTCTACCATGCCAGGCAGGTCGATTGTTGAACGGTAAGACTAAAAGCAGCAACTCAAGGTCTGAGGGCGAAGTCGTACTGCTGACTGTAGAGGGGTGTGACAGCAGTAAGGTGTTTCCCTCGGACAACCAGCATGACAGCGATGCTGCCTTCCCACAAGGAGGGGTGGGGTTAGAAAAGGTCGACCCTAAAAATGTCACACCTCACCTTACCTCACGGATTTCCGTCTCCGGCGGTAAGGCCCTTTGAAGAACGGAGCTAACACGTCAAAAACCTTCCACAAAAAGGCCGTGCGCGACCGGCCTCAAGCAGTTGTCCCTTGGGCTCTGCGGTCACGCTCCCAGGTCGTCAAGACCAACACTAATCCAATTTCCTTTTCAGGTTCCTCAAGAAATACCCTTCCACGGTGTGGGCAGCCGGGAAGTGACATCAGCCCTCATACCCGTAACAGCACAAGAGACCAAGGTGGTCACATTCAAATCCTTCCTACACCTCCTAATACCTCTCTTATCTCCATGACTAACCCTCCTCACGTCTCTTTATCACCTCGCACCGCTAGGGCAAACGATTCGAGTACGTGGAACGCCATTCCTGGTCTCCTGAAACCACGCTCTAAACTACACGTAGGAGCTTTTAACGTACGAACACTTTGCCAAATAGGACAGCAGGCTTCCTTAGCTAAAACTTTAGAATCTCGCGCCATCGATGTGTGCTGCGTCTCCGAAACGCGCATACAGGATCCGAGTAGCGTCATTCATTTGACCTCACCATGCCAAAATAAAGAACCGACTCGATTTACGCTTCGTGTATCTGGAAGCCCTGATTCTGCTTCCCGTGGCCTCGCCGGCGTAGGTATAGCATTGAGTCCTAGGGCAGAACTAGCTCTCTTAGAGTGGATCCCAGTAGACAGTCGTTTGTGCGCTGTCCGACTGAACGGAACAGTAAGAATCCGGAAAGATAGGGACACTCGTCGTTGCCTCTTCGTCGTCTCTGCCTATTCTCCCACTGACTGCAGCTCAGATGATGTAAAAGATGAGTTTTACAGAAAGCTTTCGGACCTTCTCCGAAAAGCTAGGCGCTCGGATGTAGTAATAGTGGCCGGTGACTTTAATGCTCAAGTAGGTAAACTAAGCGATAGGGAAAGACACCTAGGTGGATCTTATGGTGTCGTGGCTCAAAGAACAGATAATGGCGACCGTCTGTTGCAGCTATGCTCAGATAACCGCCTGTTCCTTGCAAATACTAACTTTAAGCATAAGGAAAAACATCTTTTAACATGGCGACCCCCTAATTCGTCCCAACGTTGGACCCAAATAGATCACATCGCTATCAGCCACCGATGGAGGGGCTCGATAGAAGACTGTCGCTCATTCTGGAGCACATGCCTAGATTCAGATCATGCTCTAGTGCGAGCGCGTATTTGCTTGCGTCTTACTGGACGTAGGAAAGACGCTGCAAGGAAACCTCTTAGGGCCTACTTAATGATAGTCAAGCTAAGAGTATATTTCAGGAACAACTAGGAAAACAGTTAGGCAGCCATGTATGTGATGCCCACCCCGATGCAGCATGGAATGATATCCGAAAAGCTGTGGAAACAGCAGTGATATCTGCTAGTAAGGTAAACCAGAAGGTTAGGGAGCAACACTGGATCTCAGCAGCATCTATCGCACTGATAGATGCTCGGAAACTCATTCCACCTGGCTCTGAACATAATGAAGAGCGGAGTCAGCTTAAGCGCAAGCTGACAAGAAGTCTACGCAATGATCGCGAACAGTGGTGGGTAGCGAAAGCAAGAGAGATGGAAAAGGCAGCGGCAATAGGTAATAGCAGACAATTGTTCAGACTCGTTAAGGAAACCGGAATTAGGAACCCGACCGTTAGCGAAACAATCTCAGAGAAAGATGGACATATTATTCATTCTCAATCCAGGAGATTGGATCGATGGGCAGAACACTTTAGGGATCAGTTCAACTGGCCTTCAGCCACACTTCGGTTTCCCACGATCTCTAGTCAACCTGAATGGCAAGTTAATGTAGGTCCTCCGTCCCTTTACGAAGTTGAAAAAGCCATAGGAAATCTGAAACGAGGGAGAGCAGCAGGCCCTGACAGGTTTACTCCTGAGATTTTTAAGGATGGTGGTCCAGTATTAGCAATGAGATTAACTGAGGTCTTAGGTAGAATTTGGGAACTGGACGTAATCCCATCTGACTGGTCTCAATCACTGATTGTGCCAGTCTATAAGAAAGGACAAAAGTCCTCTTGTGACAATCACAGAGGAATCAGTTTGACTAATATAGTGTCTAAAATATTAGCTTCAATAATACTTCGACGCCTAATCAAAGCTCGTGAAGAGCAGATTAGAGAAAACCAGGCCGGTTTTCGACCTGGACGTGGTTGTATAGATCAGATATTCACACTACGTCAGGTTCTAGAACACAGACACACATTCAGACGCCCCACAATGGTAGTATTTCTCGACCTTAAGGCGGCATTCGACTCTGTTGATCGTGAGGTTCTATGGCAGTGTTTGTCACTGAAAGGAGTACCAAAGAAGTACATTAACCTTATAAAGGCTCTCTACTCGAACACAACTGGTAGAGTGAGAGCTTATGGCGAACTGTCATCAGAATTGATTACCTCAAGTGGTGTTCGTCAGGGCTGTCCACTCTCCCCATTCTTGTTCAACTTTGTTGTCGACGTACTTTTAGAGATAACACTCTCCTCATCTAAATTTCCAGGGGTTGAACTTCTACCGGGAGGTTCACTTGTTGACTTAGAATATGCTGATGACATAGTTTTATTTGGTGAAGACGCTGACAAAATGCAGAGTCTTCTGACCACTCTAAGCAACAATGCAAGCATGTTCGGGATGCGATTCTCTCCCTCGAAATGCAAAATGTTGCTTCAGGATTGGGTTACATCGACACCCGAACTAGTGATAGGGAGTGAAGTAGTTGAGTGTGTCGACCGCTTCACTTATCTTGGAAGTCTCATCAGCCCTTGTGGTTGGTGTGTGACGAAATCTCAGCACGGATACAGAAGGCTCGACTAGCTTTTGCCAACTTGCGTCATTTATGGCGTAGGCGAGATATCCGTCTATCAACCAAAGGACGGGTTTACTGCGCAGCAGTTCGTTCCGTCCTACTTTATGGCAGTGAAACATGGCCGGTAAGAGTAGAGGATATTCGTAGGTTACTAGTATTTGATCATAGGTGTCTTCGAAACATTGCTCGTATATCATGGGACCATCGAGTAAGTAACACAGTTGTTAGGAAACGGGTACTAGGTAAGGATGGCAAATCAATTGATGAAGTAGTGAAACTTCATCAGTTGAGATGGCTGGGACACGTGTTACGTATGCCCAACGACCGACTGCCTCGACGTGCTATGTTCAGTGGTATAGGAGTAGGTTGGAAGAAAGCTAGGGGCGGCCACACCAAAACATGGCACAAGTCCATGAAGTCACTGACAAGTGGACTGAGTCATGTTGGTAGGTGTAGACTACCTGGTTGGGGACCGCGAGATGATAGCAACCGATGGTTAGAGACCCTGAATGACATGGCTCAAAATCGTTTGCAATGGCGCAGGTGCATCCACTCTTTGTGTTCTCCCAAATTCTAATCTTCTGAATTCTTCATGTCCCTTTTTTTTCCTTTCCAAATTTATTTCACTGTATTATACTCTTTAAATAACATCTCCAAACCCTAATTTTTCTGAATATTGCTTATACTTTTACTACACCTAGCACTACGGGATTTGAATCGACCACTGCATCTCTGTGCTAATGTGGTGTGGCAACTCGAACTGATGTACGTACATACGAGGTTCTACGTTGTTACTGACTGACTGACTGACTGAGCGATAACCAATGGGTCATGCTATGTGTGTTCACAAATCGGAACGGAGGGTTAAAGTTTATTTTTTTATACGACAATTTTACAGGCAATAATTGCAATCATACAAATTGTAAGAAGTGATGAAAAATACAAACAGTAACAAAACTAATTACAAAGACAATCTACTTTAGCTATCTCCACACGGACACAAATGTAACCCTTGAAATTGATACGAACACCAGGTCTACTGTTGCTCATTCCCTAGCTATTCTGAGAAACATATCAGCTTATCATATAATAGACAATTATAACGTCTCTGATTATAATAATAAGTGAGAGATTCAACTTAGGCAGAGAACACTAATTTGTCAAAGACTTTGAGTACGCCTTACTGATAAATGCCAGTTAGGATCAAGCTTGAATTCATGGCTTTTTAGTGATTACTTCCAAGGCCCTACACATTATATAATATATAGAGAGTTAAATCGGTTACTGCGATTCTGACACGTTTGTTGTTCAATTAGCCTTATTTTGCATAATCAGAGTTCTTGCCTAATGTCATTGTTTGTTTAGTTGCTAACCATGAGTAGAGCTCCATTTTTTTCATGAGCTATTAAGAAACTCCGCCTGTAGCTCTAATAGGGTTACTGCCGGTCCAAAGCCCGGGTAAAGGAGGAGGGTTGGGCATGGGGTTAGCGTCCCCATCCCGTAGAAAACTAACTCGCTAAAAAAACGCTTACCAGAAAAAATAATCCAAACCATTTAAACTCTGCCCTGGGAGTTAGAAGGTCTTCAGTTAGAAGAATTATGACGCTTCATGGTGAAAGCCGAGTTCCTTCGGAAGCCACGAGGCCGATGCCCCTTCTAACAACTAGAGCAAAAATTTTTATAGGTACATGGAACGTTCGAACAATGTGGGAAACCGGGAAGACCAGTCAAATAGCAATGGAAATGAGGAGATACAACCTAGCAGTACTGGGAATCAACGAAACCCACTGGACCCAAGCTGGACAGAAAAAGCTAGCTACGGGAGAGATGCTGCTATACTCCGGTCACGAGGAGGACAATGCTCCACACACTCAGGGAGTCGCTCTTATGCTGTCCAAAGTAGCACGAAATGCACTTGTAGGATGGGAGTCTCACGGATCCAGAATCATCAAAGCATCATTCAAAACAAAGAAGGAGGGGATCTTAATGAATATTATCCAATGTTATGCACCCACCAATGATAGCAACGACGACATCAAAGATCAGTTCTACGAGCGGCTGCAGTCAATCATTGAGAAATGCCCAAGAAAGGACCTAACTATTCTGATGGGAGATCTAAATGCCAAAGTCGGAATAGACAACACTGGATATGAAGATATTATGGGACGACATGGACTGGGAGAAAGAAACGAAAATGGAGAAAGATTTGCAAATTTGTGTGCATTCAACAAATTAGTCATAGGAGGCACAATATTTCCACACAAACGTATACACAAGGCTACATGGATCTCACCGGACCACACTACAGAGAACCAAATAGATCATATTTGCATCAACAAAAAATTCCGAAGGACAATGGAAGATGTGAGAACCAGGAGAGGTGCTGACGTAGCTTCAGATCACCACCTAGTTGTAGCCAATTTAAAACTGAAGCTGAAAAAGAACTGGACAAGTGGACAAACAGCACTACAAAGGTTCAATACAGCCTTCCTTCGAGATACTGACAAACTCAATGAATTCAAGATAGCTCTCAACAACAGGTTTCAAGCCTTACAAGATCTACTGAAAGAAGAAGAAACTACTATGGAGGACAACTGGAAAGGCATCAAGGAAGCATTAACTTCAACGTGTCAAGAGGTTCTGGGCCTAAAGAAACACCATCATAAGGAATGGATCTCTATAGAAACACTGGACAAGATCAAAGAAAGGAAGAACAAGAAGGCAGCAATTAACAACAGCCGAACACGAGCAGAGAAAGTCCAAGCACAAGCTGAATACATAGAAGCAAACAAACAAGTGAAGAGGAGCATTAGAGCCGACAAGAAGAAATACGTGGAAGAACTAGCAACGACGGCAGAAAAAGCTGCTAGAGAAGGAAATATGAAACAGCTTTACGATACAACGAAGAAACTAGCAGGGAAATACAGTAAACCAGAGAGGCCGGTCAAAGACAAAGAAGGCAAGCCAATCACCGAAATTCAACAACAGCGTAACAGATGGGTGGAATACTTCGAGGAACTCCTGAATAGGCCGGCTCCAATGAATCCACCGGACATCGAAGCAGCACACATAGATCTTCCTATAGATGTCAACCCACCAACGACGGAAGAAATTAGAATGGCCGTCAGACAAATCAAGAACGGGAAAGCAGCAGGACCCGACAACATACCAGCTGAAGCACTGAAATCAGACATCGAAGCAACCACAAGCATGCTTACCTTCTATTCAAAAAGATTTGGGAGGAGGAACAAGTGCCGATGGACTGGAAAGAAGGACACCTCGTCAAGATTCCAAAGAAAGGAGATCTGAGCAAATGTGAAAACTACAGAGGCATTACACTACTGTCAATACCAGGGAAAGTCTTCAACAGAGTGTTGCTGAACCGGATGAAGGATGCAGTAGACGCCCAACTTCGAGATCAACAAGCTGGATTCCGTAAGGATCGGTCGTGCACAGACCAAATTGCAACACTACGGATCATCGTCGAACAATCAGTGGAGTGGAACTCATCACTATACATCAACTTCATTGATTATGAAAAGGCATTCGACAGTGTAGATAGGAGGACATTATGGAAACTTCTTCGACACTACGGAGTTCCTGAGAAGATTGTCAACATTATCCGGAACTCATACGACGGACTACAGTGCAAAGTAGTGCATGGAGGACAGCTGACAGATGCATTCCAAGTAAGGACTGGAGTCAGACAAGGCTGTTTACTCTCTCCCTTCCTCTTTCTTCTGGTGGTCGACTGGATTATGAAGACCTCGACATCTGAAGGAAAACACGGAATACAATGGACAGCTCAGAATCAATTAGACGATTTGGACTTCGCAGACGACCTAGCCCTCCTATCACGTACACACGAACAGATGCAGATGAAGACAGCCAGTGTAGCAGCAGTCTCTGCATCAGTAGGCCTCAGCATACACAAAGGGAAAACCAAGGTCCTCAAATTCAAGGCGGAGAACAGCAATCCAATCACTCTTGATGGCGAAACTCTGGAAGATGTAGAGTCCTTCACATACCTAGGAAGCATCATCGATGAACAAGGAGGTTCAGATGCAGACGTAAAGGCGAGGATCGGCAAAGCAAGGGTCGCATTCCTACAATTGAAGAACATATGGAACTCAAAACAACTTTCAACCAATATCAAAGTGAGAATCTTCAATACGAACGTCAAGGCAGTTCTACTGTATGGAGCTGAAACTTGGAGAACTACAACAACCGCAATCAAGAAAGTACAAGTATTTATAAATAGCTGCCTACGCAAGATACTCAACATCCACTGGCCGGATACCATCAGCAATAGCCTTCTGTGGGAGAGAACAAAGCAACTTCCAGCTGAAGAAGAAATTAGGAAAAGACGATGGAAATGGATAGGACATACATTACGCAAACCGTCAAACTGCATCACGAGGCAAGCCCTAACTTGGAACCCTGAAGGGAAGCGAAAAAGAGGAAGGCCAAAGAACACATTGCGTCGGATTATAGAAGCAGATATGAAAAGGATGAATTACAACTGGAAGGAGCTAGAAAGGATTGCCCAGGACAGGGTTGGATGGAGAATGCTGGTGAGCTGTCTATGCTCCTTCACGAGGAGTAACAGGCGTAAGTAAGTAATTAATTAAGAAATGAATTATAAATATATATTTTATATTATTAACATTTAAAAGTTTAAAGTGTAAATTTCAAATTAAACGAATAGTAAAAGCGATTTACCTGTCTTCTGTACCAGCTGTAGATCGTTGTTTGTTTTCCAAACTGACTTTGTCATTAAAACCAAATTTACATTCTGGCATACCACTTAAATAAGACTTCATGATCACTCGACCTGCCACATGTGCAGATAAAACTTGTCCTGATAAAAAAATTTTATGATGAAAAGCTTTTACCATTTTAGTTAACTTATCACATTGGGCAAATCAACGAATCAGATATATTCTTAATAAATGAGGATTAACTATATTTTGAATCGGCCCCAAATGCCCTGGTATGGCCGAGAGTGGGGTGGGCCCGCCCTCCCTCTCGAAATGCTCTCACACGGCCACGCGTATACAGCCTCTAACAGGGAAGTCCTACTCATTGCCTTCTCGTGGCGGGGGTGTTGTTTACGAGAATGAGAGGACGAAAAACGAATGTCCGGCGCTTTAACCGGATTCCAAACCAAATCAATGTTGCACATGGGCTCCAGTATCCTGAGGAAACAAATGGCGTATGAACCAATGGTTGGTCACTGGCTACCATGGGACTGCATCTCCTCACGATGCTCCACTGCCTTGTGGATCAAACCTTCAGGTCAAAGGCTCGGGGTGTGGCCCCCTAAGATAACCACCTGATTCGGCTTGGGCACCCGGGCAGTATCACAGCCCACACACAAATATGATGAACTGTCGATAATTATGGAAAACACTTTTCTTGCTTCAATTAACAATCAAACGATTCACATTATTATTATTACTATTGTTATTATTTACTACGTCATTTATTCACTCTCTTTTATTCCTACTCTGTCTATCCTTATTTTTCAACTTATACAGCAGCTCGTCTATGGTGGAAATTCGACTATATCTAAACGTTCTCGAGTCACTGTCCGGTTGAAAATTGTATGTTACCACCGAATATCAATACTAAAGCAGTTTTTCTGAAACCACGTGCACCATTCAAACTGGCTGCCTTCAACGTTCGCACACTTATGCAGGTCGGACAACAGATAGGGCTGGCTATGTCTTTAGAAAGTCTTAGTATCAACGTTTGTTGTCTATCCGAGACCCGTATCCAAGACTCTGGTGAAGTAATACAAATTCGATCTCCATCTGTCGCTTCGATAGGCTTGTTTTACGTGCGCTTTTTCCAGGGACCCTGTGGCATCTTCGTCTGGTCTTGCTGGCGTTGGTTTCGCACTAAGCGCTAGAGCTGAGGCAGCACTAATCGACTGGATCCCCATTAACAGTCGGTTATGTGCTGTTAGATTAGAAAGTTCCATCAAAGTGAGAAGAAATCGGGGTGAGAAACGATGTCTTTTCATCATCTCCGCCTATGCTCCGACAGATTGCAGCCCGGATGCAATCGAGGATGAGTTTCACCACCAGTTATCTGTTCTTCTCCAGAAAGTGCGTTCGACAGATAATGTAGTACTAGCCGGAGACTTGAATGCTCAGGTCTGGCGTCTGAGTACAGAAGAGAATAGTTTAGGTGGTCGATGGGGACTTGTTGGTCGCAGGACAGATAACGGGGACCGTCTACTGCAACTGTGCACAGACCACAACCTGTTTCTGGCTAGCACTAACTTTCGGCACAGTCATCGCCGATGTGCCACTTGGTGTCCTCCCTCTGCATTTCAAGCCTGGACTCAGATTGATCACATCGCGATCAGCTACCTCTGGCGTGGTTGTGTACAAGACTGCCGCTCCTTTTGGAGTACCTATCTAGACTCTGACCGTGCCTTGGTCTGCGCCAATCTTACCTTACTTTTCAGTGGACAACGAAGTGACCGCCACTAACGGATTGATGTCAGCAAGTTGGTTGCAACTTCTGTTGCTGGTAAGTACCGAACCGAGCTAGCTTCTAGGCTAGCTACCATTCCACCGAAAAGCATAGATGAGCATTGGTTGCAATTGCATGACACCATGAAAATGGAGGGTACAGTCAGTTTTGGGTTTGCGAAACGTCCCGCTTATAAGCACTGGTTTTCTTCAGGCTCCTTACAACCCATTGAAGCCCCTCGGTCTACTCCGGGTGACCGTGAGTTTGACCACAAACGGAGGTTGTTACGTAGTGAAATCGGGCAAAGCTTGCGTAAGGACCGAGAAGCCTGGTGGTCGGAGCGTGCTAGTGAGCTGGAAGCAGCAGCTGCATCTGGTAATTACCGGAAGCTCTTCCAACTCATCCGAGCCACTGGCAGCAAGAAGTCTGGTGTGAGTGAAACAATCTGCGAGGATGATGGGATGCCAATCACTAACATCCATCGACGTCTTGGACGATGGGCAGAATTCTTCGAAGGGCAGTTCAACTGGCCTGCTGCTCCGGCAACATCGGTCAGACTGTCCTGCCCTCCATGGCCGGTGACGACTGATCCACCAAATGAGGCGAAAGTCCGCAAGGAACTCCAACTCTTGAAGCGTTACAAATCACCTGGCCCAGATGACTTACCTCCGGCTCTTTTTAAAGATGGTGGTGACTTTCTGACTAAGGAATTGACGACGTTGTTTACAAAGGTTTGGGAACTAGAGAGTGTACCAACGTCATGGAATGAGTCGATAGTTGTCCCTATCTTTAAAAAGGGTTCACGTCGTTCGTGTAACAACTATCGGGGGATAAGTCTACGTCCGACTGCGTCCAAACTATTGGCTTCCGTCATACTTCCTAGGTTGTTCAAAACCCGAGAAAGATTGACTCGTGAGGAGCAGGCTGGGTTTCGTTCTGGTTGAGGATGTATTGATCATATCTTCACCCTCCGCCAAATGTTAGAACACCGCCATACTTATCAAAGGCCAACAATCGTAGTGTTTCTTGACATCAGGGCTGCCTTCGATTCGTTGGACAGGACTGTTCTCTGGGATTGTCTATTGAAGAAGGGTGTGTCTGAGAAGTTTATTAACATCCTAAAAGCCCTATATGCAAACACCTCAGGCAGAGTGAGGGCATACAACCACCTCTCTCCATTGTTCCATTCGAGCAGTGAGGTTAGACAGGGTTGCCCAATCTCACCATTCCTCTTCAACTTTGCCATCGATGACATTCTGGAAACAGCTCTGATGGATGTTAGTAATGGCGGTGTAGATCTGCTGCCTGGAGAAAGACTTCTCGACCTTGAGTATGCGGATGATATTGTCTTTTATATTTATATGAACACATAAGTATTGGTACAGGAGGGCACCAAATATATATGCGCCACACAAAACAATGAGAATTTGCAGAGAAGGAAAAAAGGTAAGGAGCGTAAAAAAACGATAACGAACAGATTAGTGTAAGGTAGTGTAATAATAATAATGGGCGAAACAGAAACGTGCACTCAGAAATCTTTCAGGTAAGGAAGAAGCAACCACTTTTTATGAAGAAAGTAAGAGGTTACAGCAGGATCGCCATTGGCTTCTATTCTGAGCCATATCTGATAACGTCTCTACTCGAGAACGTTTAGATATAGTCGAATTTCCACCATAGACGAGCTGCTGTATAAGTTGAAAAATAAGGATAGACAGAGTAGGAATAAAAGAGAGTGAATAAATGACGTAGTAAATAATAACAATAGTAATAATAATAATGTGAATCGTTTGATTGTTAATTGAAGCAAGAAAAGTGTTTTCCATAATTATCGACAGTTCATCATATTTGTGTGTGGGCTGTGATACTGCCCGGGTGCCCAAGCCGAATCAGGTGGTTATCTTAGGGGGCCACACCCCGAGCCTTTGACCTGAAGGTTTGATCCACAAGGCAGTGGAGCATCGTGAGGAGATGCAGTCCCATGGTAGCCAGTGACCAACCATTGGTTCATACGCCATTTGTTTCCTCAGGATACTGGAGCCCATGTGCAACATTGATTTGGTTTGGAATCCGGTTAAAGCGCCGGACATTCGTTTTTCGTCCTCTCATTCTCGTAAACAACACCCCCGCCACGAGAAGGCAATGAGTAGGACTTCCCTGTTAGAGGCTGTATACGCGTGGCCGTGTGAGAGCATTTCGAGAGGGAGGGCGGGCCCACCCCACTCTCGGCCATACCAGGGCATTTGGGTGCCTTACTGTGCGATAATGCCCAAGGCATGTGATCCACATTTAGTCGGTTGGCAATCAGTGTCCGTAAGTATGGGTATGTGCTTTGCACCTTCGAAGTGCAAAGTACTTCTACAAGACTGGCAGGATTCTAATCCTGTACTCACCCTGGATGGTGAGCAGATAGAAGTAGTCGAGAAGTTCATGTATCTAGGTAGCTGCATAAGTGCTGGCGGGGGTGTGAGTGATGAGATCAATGCACGTATAGTGAAAGCCAGAGCGGCTTATGCCAATCTGGGCCATCTATGGCGCCTTCGTGATGTTAGTCTGGCTGTAAAAGGTCGGATCTACAACGCGTCGGTGAGAGCAGTTTTGCTCTATGCTTGTGAAACCTGGCCTCTCCGAGTTGAGGATGTTAGACGACTCTCTGTGTTTGATCATCGCTGTCTCCGAAGGATTTCTAACATCCAGTGACAACACCATATTAGTAATGCAGAGGTTCGGCATCGTGTGTTCAGGCACAGAGATGATAATGCAATCGATGTCACCATCTTGAAACACCGACTTCGGTGGCTTGGACATGTTCCACGAATGCTGTCCCAGAGAATTCCACGTCGTGCATTATTTGCCGACTCTGGGACTGGTTGGAAAAAGCGGAGAGGTGGTCAGTGTATGACATGGTGTCGTGGTATGAAAGAAAGCTGCAAAGGACTGGCTTGTGTTAGTCCTTCACGACTCCCTGGTTGGGGTCTGAGAGATGGTGCTACACAGTGGCTAGAGACGTTATCAGATATGGCTGAAAATAGAAGCCAGTGGCGATCCTGCTGTAACCTTTTACTTTCTCCATAAAAAGTGGTTGTGACTTCCTTAACTGAAAGATTTCTTCTGATTGTACCTTTCCGTTCCCTCATTATTACTATTATTATTATTATTACACTACCTTACACCAATCTCGTCGTTATTGTTTTTTATTATTATTTTTTACGTTCATCACCTCTTTTTCTTCTTAGATTCTCATTGTTTTGTGTGGCGCATATATATATGGCGCACTCCTGTACCAATGTATATGTGTTCAAATAAATAATAAATATATAAATATTTTGAATCAAATACAAAAAAATACGTTGAAAAATTGATGTTACTTGAGACGGT